GCCCAAGCCTAGACAGGAGTAGTCGAGGTGTAGAGTTTGAGTTCGAACCACGAACCTTCCGATCCGTTACCTGGTGTTTTAACCACTGAGCTATTTCGAGCCATAGGCAAGAGGACGATAATGGCCAACAACCAAAGCTTTTGGCTCAAAAGCCCTACTTCAAGGTGGCGGTGACTAATGGGAGACTGTCAGAGAAGCCTGCATTTTTAATAAGCAACCCGGAGGATTATGGAGCTGTCAATCAGACTGCCCATTGACCTCCCCGGTATGAGGCCCGAAACGTCTCAGTAGTTAGAGTGCGAATTGACTGCATTCGACCGCTCCTGTCTAAGCTTGACCAACCTGGCACTGTCTCAGCCCCCATGCTTCTTTCAGGTCGCATGGTAGCTAGGCAGCCTAAGGTTATAATAGATGCAGGGCTACTGAAGGGCTCTGCATGTATCACACGTACACTTCCCTATATAGCTCTATGGGTTTTGAGAGTGCACAAGCGTCACGCTGCAGCTGTCTCTTCACGACGGAGCTTGCGTAGAACACTTCGCAAATCTGCAATCTACTTAGTCCATGCGGTTCTAAAAATTGACGGTTTCGTACAGAAGATATATGCAGACATGAGGTTTTTCGTATTGGGATCCTAGGCGTATTCGGCGGTTTGCAAAGCTAATTAGCTTGGTGCTTAGAGAGCGCCACATGATCATCCCACGTCACAGGAAAATGCTGCAGTAGCGATGATTTCAACGGACCGGTCGAGCTTCGGGAACGTGTACCAGCTCCTTCCCCACATCCAGGGTGGCACTGTCATCCTGTAGGGGAGCTGAAAACCTCGATCGACACGGTCGAGTCGGATTTGGAGCGGTCAGATCTGAACTTGACGTGCGTTATCTGTACGTGGAACCGGAACCGAATGTCAATCTTTGCAGACCCATCTCTGAGTGCCACCCTGGGGTAGGGAAAGTGCGGGACGTCCGTGAATTCGACTCATCTTGTCACAAAAGCCAGTGTCCGCAAATTGAAACAACTTCAGTTTACCCTGTGGTGGTTGTTCTGCACGTTTTCTCCTGTCCCTATGACTTAGACACAGCCATTTCGTCTTTGTCGCATCGTGACTGTGTTGGGTACTTGTATCATTCCCTTATTCAAGTTGAGCATTATTATCGGAAGCTGCTCTTTCCGACTTACCTTTTTCAGGCACTGAGACCTGTCATGCCAAAGTGACAATCCGTAATCGGCCTTTTGGCAAAAACACAAACACTCATCTAGACCATCACTATCACGCCCTGTTGTGACTACGTCACTGCAAACTCCGGATATGGAATGAAGGCTGTGCAACAAAATTCATTGAACGAAGCTTAAACTAATGGTTTTGTGTATCTGTTGGAAGTAGATAGGGCGAAATCAGTGGCGAAAACCGACATGTTGTCGGATTGCATTTATAAAAGCTCTTCATTGGAATTGCGCTTAAGCAAGCCGCGAAACGACTTGAGCAACTGGTTCGGCTACTCTGCGATTTATTCGAACAACCAAAGCAGCTGCAGTTCAGTATGTAATCTCCCTTGCTTTACATCCTTAGGTAAACATCAGCGTATGGCCTTCCATTCGTAGATACGCTCATGCAAAACATTTCAAGTGATGTTACCGGGGATGGTCTCTACTGTGAAAGGTGATTTCACGCATATTTTGCCACGTTCGTGAAACTTTTATTATGAGTACTGTTAACATCGAGGTAGTTCATTGGTCTACCATTATGGGTCTCCCAAACGATGAACTCTTCATCAAAATATTTTCCCCTCAACGACAGTTATCATCGTAGCGTGGACAACTTACAATCCGAAGAGTTCTTCATGCGTTATACCGTGATCCCCAACCAAAGACCGTTTATCGGGACTGTAGGTCTGATTTTTTTGGATGGGATCTCCCCAAGGGAAGCATTTTAGGACTTCTCGATAAAACATAATAAATGCGTCAGCTTTTGATCATGAAGCCAGTGGAGTAATGGTGTGGACCTTCCCTTAAGTGTAGGCTTGGACGACCTGGCAGTATCCCAGCCCTCGTGGTTCCTTCGGGTGGCATGGCAGCTAGGCACCGGAAGAGTGCTACAGCTGAACGTTTTATTTTATTTTTTTTAAGTGTAATAAGATCCTCTTACATTGGACCAGCAATATCGCCCACCAACGCAATCGCCTTGGAAGAAGCTAGGACAACTTTAAGAAGCTTTTGACTTACATACTAGAATCAGAGACTTACGTTTGAGTCAGAGCGTTTGCGTGATCCCCTTGTTGATACTTCACAATTTCGGTCCTAGCCTTTCTCCCAGAAAAAAACATTATTGGCCAGTGTCCACTCCACGCTATACTCATGATAGGCGACTGTGTACGTGATAAACTTAACCACGGTGGTTCTAGATTTTCACTCAATCAACTCTACCTGATTTTCTTTAAAATTATCATGTGGGCTTTTACTGCTATATTAACCGTTCAGCTGTAGCACCCTTTCGGTGCCTAGCTACCAAGCCAACGGAAAGATGTTATACTGTGACCCAAACAGCCAGTACACCGATCGGCGTGAATTTTTTGTTTCATGGAAGATGCTTTAGCTTGCAAAGCGAAATTCTGCGTTTTGTTCACTTCTTTCTGGAAAGAACGCCACCAGCGGGAACCACATGAAGGAGACCCCTTTAGTGCGAAACATTAGTTTCAATGTACGCCTTGTTAAATGGACCATGTAGTTCGCTTGTCATGGAGACTGCAAATTAAATATAAGCGAATCGGTGAACATACGCTAAATTCCTCTCTCTGGCCACAATATCCTCTCGAGAGGGGACGAATGTGCAGTTATCCTTTCGGAGATAACCACCAAAGTGAATCACCTTTGGACGACGTGTTGAGGTGAACCCTCAAGTGTGGGAACGTGTAGCATGTATGTATGGACGCACCAGAAGTGGTTTCTTTCGGTACTCAATCTCTTCTAAGAGGGGCTAAACCGTCACGAGAACTTGGAACGCATCAGCGACAAGTGGCATCATGCGAGGAGCGGTCTGTACAAAGGCACAAAGGGTGATAATTTTTTCTCATGTAGACAACCATGTTATGGGACTCAGCCCCTCGGTGGATCAGTTTTTTCTTCATGCCATTGGTCAGTTATCTAGTTATTGTCACAATTCACAGAGCGCACCACTCCTGGCCCCGTCTCTGCTTGGAGAGAATATTGTGCAACCCGGGACATTAAGAGTGGTCTTTGTTGATTGGACTGTCAAAGAACATCAAGTTGAAGCCAAACTCCCCGGAACTGCAGTGAACTGATTGTAAGCGGGACGACTATCTTGGGGTTTATGTACGGCGTATGTGGTATATGTACACCGTGTACTGGGTTGGAGCATAGCGCATTCAGTTTGTATTTTCGACTAGGGAGCCTCCGGAGTGTACGATGACTTTCCTGGTGATTGTTATGGGCTTGTGGATGTTAATGCAGAAGTTGTGGCCATCCGTGATTTGGATGTTGGCGATTTCCGTTCTCTAACAGCGTATCCAGGGGATGAGGACAGTTCAAGCAACTAAAGTAGCAACCTTCTAAGTAGTAGATGGTTAGTGTAAACACCCAAGGGTCTTAAGTTGCCCTAACGATGTAAGTAGGCACGGTTTTGTACATGTCCGAGCGGTTCGCTGTAGTGCCGAGAGTTTCGCAGAATATAACCCTCACATTAATAAATCCAGGTAATTATGTTGCCTTCTGGACTTTAAAGCAGGTGACGGACCGGAATGTCTGAGGTTCTCACACAACCTTAGCATCTTGACTGCTCCTGTCTGGATTTTGACAACCTGACAGTGCCCCATCGTGTCTACCTCCGTTGGCATGGTAGCTAAGCACCGAAAGGGTGCTACAGCTGAACGATTTAATTCTTTTATTTTGACTCTTGTCCGTGAGTCCAGCTATAAAGATACGGCGTCCTGGATTAATCTATGTAATGTGTTCTTATTAGTATGTCCCAATGGCCATAGCTTAAAATCGTACATTATATTACGTCACAAGTTCACGTGTCTCTAGTGAAGTCGGTCCAAGCTCTTGTCCGAACAGTACACTATGTTCATTCCAATGGCTGGGCGGCCAATCTGCATTTTTGGGCGTGCGGTAACAAAATCCTAGCTTTGTGCTGACCGCGACAAACCTTGATGGGCACTATATCGGTTTTGTACCTCACTCTGTTGAAGCATCGCACTCATTATCACTGGGACATCTGACGACAAAACAAAGTAACAGTTCACCGCGTGAGTTCGCTTCAACCTCACTTAAGCCAGCCACCGATTATCCTGAAGGCAACCGTCTGCAAAGATTCAACTGGTAAAAAAGCCTATAACGGTGACCAAGTTCAGCCTAAAGTCACAAATCGTTACACCAGAGTCACATGGTAAATGGTAGTTGAACTTCAATGGATTTGGAAGCGTCCGGACTATATCTAAATGCATAGTCTTTTCGGGTGGTTGATTGCGTATTTTATATATCCGGCTGGGGAAAGCACGGATTCTTCTGACTCGTTCTAGTGACACGGGTTGATGTTCCTATGATTACCAGTCAAAAGTATTTGGTTGAAAGACAAAACGCAGCTATTCGGTAGTTCTGTGGACAAACGGCTACAATACCCTGGTTTCCTCGGTTGACTAAGAATCTGCTTTCCGCACACAAGGAGTTACCCAACAATATGATACGCTTGACCGTAGGCAATGGTTCAGTCAGACGACATGAGGTGTAAGGTGTGCCTTGCAGTAAGCGTTGTTATGCATAGGGGGTGCATTCTCAGTCGTATTCATCGCTAGCAACCGGGACGGAGAAACCCTGCAAGTGCCAATGCTGAAAAGTCTGTTAGGAATCATCAGCGACCCACATCTTATGAATCTCTGGGAAGATTCGAACGCGTGACCCATCTAACCACCAGTAACTGACCAGAAGTGTGACTTTGCCTACATCCAAATAGTAAACCTTATACGCCTCATTGTCTGATTTACAGGTTGTGTGACTCACTCCAACATTTCTATTTATTTCATTCGGATTGTTTTGAGCAACCAACGCTAGGACCAGTGGCAGGAAAAATGGAAATAAACAACAATCCGTTCGCTGAATTGCTTGGAAACAATGAGTGTGCCACGAAACAGTTATATGGTTTGTCTATGTTTTCGATTATTATTTTGCTCTTCGCTGATTAGAATCCGACGGCTGCCTTGTTGCTGTAACTAAGACCCTGGAGAGCATCTTACTTATTAGTTATGATAAAAGTACGCATATTTTTTCACTAATCAAACTGTTAGATCTTTCGTTTGGTTCCGATGGGCGACCAGGTTGTCTGCTCTATCTGCAACCGCCTTTGAAAGATCAATTATTTTTATCGACAGACGCTCTCGATCAGGTAATTTTCGATCGTGCACAGAAGGTTGAAATCGACGAAGGCGATCTGTTGGCAGTCACTACCCCAAGAGGAAGCGATGCAGCCGATGCATTACAAACGGGACCGGTCTCTTATTTAATTTCTTGTTTCCTGCGGGCACAAACTACTAAGCGTCAGACAGATGTAAGTGTTTGATTACAAGTCGGTTTGGTCTTTTCCTCCTGAATATGCTCGTTTTGTCGTAGTTTTAATGCTTTTAAATAGATGGTAATTCCGGTTTCGAAGTTGAAACTGTTGAAGGTCTTACTTTCCGTTTATCAGGGCATTGATATGACTGGATTTTATCATAAGTGATACATTTTTATGTGATACACTTGAATCCCTGAACACTGAAACAACTTAGGGTTGCTTCTTGTGGCAATCGATTTTTAACTGAATTATCTCCGGAACCAGTGCGCGCATCCGCAGGAAAATTCATTTTTTCCCTTCTTTACTTCAGTGATTGTAGCATACACTGGCACTGGTTTGCCAAAAATATGGCTCATTAAAGCCATCTACAGTCAAGTATCGTTCATCCTCATTAGGATTCTAAATGTCTCAATTTGTTTAATGGCGAACACATGGGATTTCGGCACAGTACCGTGTGACCGTTAAGTGCGTTCTCCGGTCATTCGAATAGAAAAAAAGAATAGCTATTGGTGTGCAACCAACCCACGAAAAGTCTACTTCCTGTCTGGAGTCTTAGCTCTGACTATAAGCACCATGTTCAATGAAGCCATCCTAAAGAACCAACTTGGTGAAGAATTACAGCACTCATCCGGCAACACGCCGACGTATCATATTCAATCGCCATGGGTGCCTGGGCATGTTATGCGGTTCTGTGCTTCTCGCCTTGTCTTTGAGTTGTCGTTTGTCAAAATTGTAACTATTGCGTTTGATTCGTCTTAATAATGTCGTGAAATTCGCATACTCTATGAATCATGTCAGGACGTCACTACGTAGCCTCACTACTTTCGCTCCACTGTAGGGAGCTTGATTTAGTAAGCCAGATGATACACTGTACCGAATATTTTCCCGAGAGAACTGCTCACTGGGTATGCGGTCAAATGATGGGGTTGGCTTCGTGGATTCCGTGGTGGTTTAGTGAAGTTTCATTACCTTCTGTTACGACTGCGACCTGCAATCCTAATTCTTAGTCTGTTTTGAAAGCCTGAAGACCGGTACTTGAGGCTCCATGCTAAGAAAGTTCGATCCGTTATGCGTGTCACGAAACTAATTGACAAGCCCATTTATATGGCTTGTTTATCATCTGTTTCGAAGTGGTTTTTCTAACCGAACATTCTCAATCTCACATTTACGGTTTACATTGCAGTATATTTCTGTTGTGGAATACTGTGAACAAGCGCTTGTACGTCAGTTGTTGCTCTTCTTGATGATCGATTCGGAACTTGAAAGCACTCAGAATTGCGACGACCTCTACAAGTCCTTGTATGATGCTGCTTCTGGAGGTAAGCGTCGCTTCCTTTATTCGTCATTGCCGTCACAGTTTTCTGTTAGTAAGATGCGGAAATCCGTTAGCCCCATCCGTAGCAGGACAGTTTGGTGCATGTTAATTTTGTCTACACCTACTTACCATGTGTCACCTTAGCCCCCAGCCATAATCGCAAACATGGTATTATTTTGTCTTCGCTGGATTTCAATCCCGCTCATGCGCATGTGGCTCCAACACATGCTCTCAGACACCACGCTGGGTATCTTATGCTACCGATAAAGTGTGAACTAGATGTGCGTTCAAAACAAAAATTATCACCGTTGACCGAACGACAGTTTTATTTCGTTTAACCCTTCTGAAAGGATAAGTTCACTGAAGCACGATTCACCATTCAAATTAATCCTAATTCCAGCGAGAAGTGGAGTGGTGCTCACCATTTTAATATCGCAGAAGGTTTCTGACCGTAGCTTGACCTCCGTTCTTTGTCACGTTGTCAACCACACCTTTTGTAACATTGCATAGTATTGTATTATTTGCACGTAGCAGTTTATGCTATATTGATTAGCCTACTTCCCGGAAAACAGAGACTGTTCACGTAAGACTCAAATGAATCCTCATTTATGACTGTCGAGTTTTACGCTTAACGCTACCTGCATAGGTGGAACTGTGCTTTTCAACTTGGTTGTCCTTGTAGGACGCTCAATTCACCTTTTCTAACGACACCGTATTCGAGAAATGAAGGTTTCTTCTGTCCGCTTGTCACCTTCAGTGAATTGTTTGGATAAGATGCATCACCAATATCAAACGATATCGTCGGGACCACATGCCATAAATGTGAACACTGTTCTTACCAATAGGTGGTTATTTTTCTTTGGTTCATCCGGTCTGGCTTTACGATTAAAGCAGTCAGTTCTGTTAGTGGTTTGTACGTCTTGGCTGTTGCTAACACACAACTTATCTCGTTTATCGGATTTGCCAATCAGATGGACCGCATCCCGTTTGTCGTTGGGCGGGATGTTTGATTGAACTTACTTATTAGTTTCGACTGGATCGGCGGAAATTGCTGTCTGTGGACAGTTTTTCTCTCCGGCTCAATGGACAAATTTTGACAGATTGGAATCGACCATTTGCTTGCACTAGCAGGGTGAGCGTGCGGACCCACCTAGTATTCTCGGTGCTCATGATGATATCTCTACGATCGGTGGCGAAATGTCCTTAAGCTTATTGCCAAGTTCAACGAACAGACAAGCAGCAACCTGACTACGGCGTCAAGGCTGTATATCCCTAAATCTCAAGGGGCTTGTTAATCGGGCTACAGTACGGGCTGTCTGGTACGGCTGTGAGACTTGACGAATTCGAGCAGCGGAACTAAGACAACAATCATTTTCTCGGAACCATAGCTCGTGTGAGTTGGTTTCGGCGAATCCGCAACGAGGCAATTAGAAAGCGCGTTTTCGGGTGTGCAATGGGTACTTCCATTGAAGAATGTGTTCAGCACCAGAAGCTGCGTTAGTTAGGCCATATATTGCTTATACTGAACCATTGTTTGCCGAGAAGTGTGTTGTTCTCCGTTCTCAATTTGGAGTGGCGGAAGTAGAGAGTTGGCCTACCCTTGAGGGGTTTGAGAGAGATTACGAAAGGTTTTGGTGTTATCGGTGCTACTCTAGGATGGTGACCGCGTGATCCCCTGGTCGGAAGCCGAAAGATATAGCTGCTAATCGATGTCAGTGGCGTTCTTGTCAGTTTCTATCCAGATTGCCTTAGTAAGTGTCCGAAGGTGTAGGCACCTCGGAATGGTTGTGGTAGGCTTGTGCTAAGTCTGCCTGAAAGTCCAAAAAATCGGCTGGATTTTCTGGCTCATCATCTTCCTGAAGTGATTTTGGTTGAATTGGTGGTAATTTTCGGACATTCTGGGATCATTTCCGGAAATTCGACTTTTCTGACAAGAGTCACTCAAAAGTGAGGAAGAATTCCCTGTCATAATAACTAGAGAGTGGTTTTCCGTCACTGAATTTTCAGTTGAATTCGCAACATTCTACGTGGTCATTATTAAGAGAGTGAAGTCTGACAGGTAAGGAAGGGCACTGTGGTTTCGCAGCTTGTGGATTCCTATACACTAAGTGTCGATAAAGCACCCACTACCACGCCCCCCTCACAAAAACACGTTCAAGATGCTGTACCGTGAATCTACAAAACATGCGATTAGACGATTGTTCACTGTACCCTAGGAGAGGTTCACTGCCCTTCTCTACTATTTTGCGTTTCCTACTGAATTCCTCTGATGAACAGATAGTCAACTAATAGGAGTTCCTAAAAAATAGTGCTCAAACTAAGTTCCGACATCTTTTTTCCCATTGTGCGTTACTTTTTCGCAGGTGACCCGGATTTGACTCTGTCAGCCGAACGGCTTTTCATGGCTACGCTTTCCCAGTTTGAACAAGATGTGCTGCAAGATGTGAATCCAAATTCCGAGTGTCCAGCGTCAAAACTGAAGCCCTTAAAACCACTCGTTACTCGGCTGTTGGATGGATTGCGTGCGATCAAACCAAACATGCCCTCCTCGACTCCGTTTGGTGCTCTCATGTTTGCTCGGAATAAACTAAATCCGGATGAGCGGTTGCTCTTCTGTACCCAACGCAAGCCGTTTATGCTGTTGTCCATCTGGTTTTCTCGCTTCGCCGCAACTGCTCAGGTATGCAACTTGCTCTGTCAGATTGTATAGACTACGGCTGTTGCGCATAATGCAAGGGGGTGAAGTATTAAATATCTTACTCCTTTACTACCATTCTCTCACTACCTTATAAAGTGGATGCCATTTGTGTTGAACAAACTTGAGTATTTGTTGGACACTAAAAAAGGCGATCCTGAATTTCATTACTCGACCGAATCTACATAACTAACTTGTCGGAAACCGGTTTATCAAGAGACGAATTTGTTTGGTACTACAAAGCTTGATCTATCTTGTCCACTGTGTTTCAACTGAATACGTTTGATAAACTCTAGAAATGTCTGTTAACTTGAGGTCCGTCCACCCCTGAAAATGTCCTAAGACCCTTATAGTTATGCGTTTTTTCTGGCTTGCTTGATACTCATTCGTTTACCACTCTGCGCGCAATATGTATAACGTCAGTGGCACACTTATTCTTTCTAAGCATATATATATATATATATATATATATATATATATATAGTCCACTCTGTACAGAAGTGCCGTTGCATCAGAATGCATAGCAGCGCAGGATCCTTTGTGTACAGTGTATACAGTGGAAAATACAGTGGTGTGTTTAAAATGTAGAAGTTCATGGTAGTGGAAAGGTTCAAGCGCCCACTGAGCTCGGATCTGTGCCAGATCAGCCACTGCGTTCAACCACAAATGCTCACTGTCATTTGGATCGCATTCAGTCACTTGAACCACTCCAACTGAGAACCATTTAAGTGTTATTAAACTTTAGCTCCATATTTTCGCATCACCTCCACACCCCATTCAATTCTGGCCTAAAATAAGTACATCTAGCTTGGTGTATTCAGGGGATGTAATTGACTCAACTAAGCTGACTGGAGGGAATGATGCCATATTGTTCTGGGTCCTTGCTGTCAATATGACACCTCTCCGTATTCGGGCATTGCTGCTTTAACCAGACGCGGAAGGTGCTCCGTCAATGACGACGATCATATTTGGACGACCGTCGAATTTATTCAAAACTTGGTGATCAACCCTCCCAATACTAATCTACCCTTCAGCAATAGGCTTTTGCAGTTCTGCTCCGCAAAGGTCGAAGGACAGTGAACATCCCTCTTGCTTTCGCGACCCAAAATGTTACTTCGGATGTTTATTTTCTTGTGACTTCTGTTTGTTGGTCAGAGCCTGAACGCTTGCGCAAGCGCTGGGTACTTGAGTAATGAGGAAAAAACAAGGTTGCTCCCATCAACAGTTCGTCCAGGGCTCACCGGATTGTCTGAGATTCCCCTGACTATGCCATCTACGTCTGGTTCAATACAGCACCGAAGGATCACTACTGAACACTGACGTTATGTTGTCGATTAGGATGATTGTGGTTCGCAGACAGCGTTTCCTGAGAGAAGCTGTACGCCACCAACAGTTACTACGGGGAACGATCGTTTGAGGATAATGCCCTCAGCGCAGTACTATAGGAAGAAAGAAAGGGACCGCCCAGGTTATCGACCACCTGTTTGTGAGGGAACATCATCTGAGCGCGTAGCTGTTTACTCCAGGTACGCATGTGATACAGGCTCTGGTTAAAGTTTTGGTTATTGAAAACGAGGCTCTAGATTCAACTGGCATGGGTAACTTCAACGGTGGCTGGCTTGAAAATGCGTAGACCAATAACCCAGAAAAATCCTTTCTTGAATCAAATGATTTCACTAAGGTATGACGCTAAGGTTGGTAGAAAAAAGCTGAACGGCTCTTATTATTGATTCTTCGGCTTCAGAACATAGATTCAATTCTTTTCATACTTCGTTTATGTAAAGCGATCACACAGACCCTCCGATCTCTCCGTTCAGACATTTCCGCCTCCAGAGCTTTCCCGGTTCATACACCATGACTGTATTTTGGGTTCAAACAAGGCAAACACTATCATCCTTCACACCTGACCACTTGATTGTGTAGACTTATCACCAAGTGATCAACATTACAGATGGTGTCAGTGAGCTAATGACAGATGACTGTCACGATGATAGTTCTGCGTTGGAATGGACGGTCGGACATTTTCACTCCTACACTGTTTCATGGGGAAGGGCACATGTTCAGATTGCATCACGATTTCATGAAACCTTTTTATGATGAGCTGCTTTCCATACACAGTTCCCAAATTGTATATTTACCCAGCCTTATACATGGGACTAGGTGTGTGCTTATGCTTTGGTGCAACAAGTGACAAACGACAGAGGACTCTTATAATAGATCTATCTATCACAATCACAGCCCGGTTACTGGCTTTCACTTTTAGCTAACTCATTAGTTCTCTTCGAAGTTCACTTATTTACCTCCTTGTTTCAGCTGCTTCTTGAGCATTCGTTTCCACCAAATCACAACGACCGGCAAACTCTTGGTTTCGAGTTTGAATGTGGCATTCTCGGTCGTCTATTTGTTGCGAGTCATCTGCGTACTCCGCAATCTCCGCAGATGGCTTTGCTTGCCCATCGAACCCAACAGACACCAGTCGGCGAATTCTTCACAGATGAAGTACCACTGAAGCCCGTGGTAGAAGCAGATCAGCGCAACATTTGGCAAGTACGTGTGTGTGTTTCTGTCCACCTCATCCCACTGGTTTCGGGAAAATGAAGACGTCGTTTTTCACTCTAGGCAACTTGGTGGGCACAGTCTGGAAGGACTATCTGTATTGACACCTAAAGTGATCTATCTTGGGGCAAGGGAGTGAGCTTATTGTCCCAACGATCAAGCCAGAAGTAATTAGTTCTTCATCGTTATCCCTCCCGAGAAAGCTGTCTCCAAAGTGAGACCAAGTTAACTAATAGTCTCATAATCGTTTTGAATCTTAGTGTCACTGGGAAAATTCAGATATGTTCATCCTCCATATCAATGAATCGCATGATCGGCCAATTAACCCATAGGTGCTACACTTTACGTTCCATCTTGCTGAACAGGAAATCATTTAATGCCGATTCTGGTTTAGTTCACTCAAAAATCAATTTCTCCTGGTGTATCTTCTACATCAGTGGGGCTTACAGTATCTGCATCGGTGATGCCGGTGCTCAGACCCTGCAGAGTGGATCCATTGTGTCCAATGCAAAGGACCGTTCTCAACCGGAGGCACATAATTTATCGCAACCCATTTAGTTGTATCCCAATCTTCACTTTTGAAAAAACGGTTTGTTATGGCTAACCATGCTCTAATTAACTGCCTCCTTTAGTCAGATTTATTTCTCAAACCTCTGCGATATTTCGCTCTTCCTGCTGTCATTTCTGCCCGTCTGCGTTCTGCAAATGCAACATGCCTTTCGAAGGTAGAGGATATCAATACAGTGTTCCTCGCCGTTCCGTAACTTACTGAAGTCAAGGAAATTGTCCGCTAAGGTGCCAATTATCTTGTTAGTTTGGTGGTCGTGATATGGAATGCGAGGCTTTTAGCTGCATTTTCTCAAAGAACTTACCGTGCTGTCACAATTCAAAGCCTAGTTCTGCATTCAGGTGAGAGTCCAAGGTTCGGTCCATATGCCACAGAACTTTTGTTTCATGCTCTGTGTTTCGAGCAATACTGTGCGGGAGTTTCTCAACAAAGAAACCACAGCCTGTGGAATAATGTCATTATCACAAAGTACTTGAAAGTAAAGAAGTCATGGGATCGTTGTCTCAGTGGAACATCCGCAATGTATTGTTGGTAGGCTATTTTCCTCAAATTGTTCTCGAAGACCACTTTTGTGATTTTGTTTGTTCGGTTCATCGTTACAAGAATGCCTTTTCGGTCACAATATCGATTCCGATGTGTCTGGCATCTACGTGAATGGGCTCGCCTAAAGTCACCGAATTTATGAGACACAATAGCTATCTATCCTATATCAAGCACCTTAAGGAAGCGCTGTCACAGTCCATTCTTGTCAGGAAGGTCAAGTTCGTGAAGATTATCCCAGAATACCCAAAACCTACTGAGACACTCAAACTTCACTAAACGCCGATCAGACAGCCTTGGATCAAGGTCAAAGTGTCTTTGACGTATAGCGCGATTCCGTTGTGTTTGGGTGCACTCGCCTGTTTGCAATAAAGCTGTTGTGTTCCTTGTCGGCGAATCTTTTTCCGGCACTAGACACTGGAGCTGGGACAGCAGTCAGATATAACATTTCCGTATTGTTCTCTCATGATCCTCTATCTAAAACGACTGTAGAAGACTATTTCAGGAAGGAACAACAATATTTACTCCAGCAATCACACACCAAATTACAGTAAATTTAGGGGAGTTATTGGATCCACCGTTACAGAACCGAATTCGTTGACCATTAAATCTTTGCCTGCATAGCCTCGCTCACTTAGGTCGTTGGTCCCGGCGTGCGCTCAACACAACATAAATTAAACTCAGATAACGGGGTAGCAACCAGAAGCTGTCCCGGATAATGATCATAAGCGATCTATTGATCGATATTACTGTCAACTCGCTAACATCGCACTTGGTAGATCGCACCTAATCAGTTTCAAAGTATTCTGAAAAGCCTAATTACCCTATTGAGCTTCCAAAGCCCTGAAATCGAACGTTAAAGTACTGAAGTGAGCCAGCTTATAGGGAGAGATAGCCACAACAGAAAGGCAGAAATTATTGATCATTTGAGAACTATCAGCAATGAGGCTGAATCCGAAGTTAACTTATTCGCTTATGCTACCCTTCAGTCGTTTAGGAATGGACAAATGTTGCGATCAGACAGGTCGTTAGTGTACAAATTTTACTATATAGATTGTGATAGGTCAGTCAGTGTTCGTAAATCTTGACTACTGCTATGCAAGTATTGCTACAGTTATCTCTCTTTAGGGAGTGCTTCCAAAAGAAGAGATTGACTTTCAGAAGACGCCACTGTTATTTTGTTCCTTAAGGCACTTTCCACTAGTGAAGTGTCTACCAGAGCTACCCATCCCGGTTCATCCCTTCTTGTGGTCTTTCCAGAAGGAGTCAATTCTACCATAAAAGTTGTTTGTCGTTGAGTTTGACTGCGGTTGAGCCTAACTACTTCGTGCTATTTGATATTTCTATGCTCATCTTGTCTTGCTTCATCGATGAACCCAGGATGATGAACCAGAGTTGTACCCTAAAACACATGTGAATCAATTTTTGTTGACGTGATCTTCATTAGTGGCATTAATAGCAATGAGATCAATATAGAAGTCGGTGAAGAGCAAGCAGAGGACCAATATGCAGTATTGATAAAAACGAAGAAAACAAGCTACTTCGTCTCACTTGTTACTGACCCCTTGCTCTAGCTGCCATACCAATAAACTAATCATCGAAACCCAGTACATTCGGTCTGCATATTGCGGAACAATCTTGTCCCTTCGCATATGAGTTAGGGTTGGGAACGTGTTTGAGCGACCTTCTTAGACCGGAAGACCAGGACATTTCTTCTGTTTAGTTGTAATTCCGACAGATATTAATCCCCATTCAGATCCTTTCTGTTTACCCAGACCGCTTTCTGCTGTGGCAGGATTACTCTGATTAGGAGCATATTCTAGTCTAATTTTCCCTCTTCACTGTGGACCAAACAAGGTCATCGTTGCAAAAGCACGGCTGTTCATAAGGTGCTTGAAGTGATCCAATGAATTACGCAGGTACCCTTGAGTTCCACCGAAATGAATTCTCTTGCTTTCGCCCTACAGCTTACCAAAGAGTTGGATGATGACCTGCATAATCTTACACTCAGTCTACTGCGAGTTGGAAAACAACGGCCTTTCATCAGAAGGCTTTTCTTCCGTTGGATTGGTTGGTGCCTGAACGCAAACAAAGGTTGGTGTTAGCTTGTTTTTAACGCAACACATCCGAACGTCTATTTAACTATTTGATTCGACGGTTAGTCAGTTACTGATAATTTTTCTTCCGTTGCTTCTTTTGTGAACCATAAACTTTTACCGTAGTCAGTTCCATGCATATATTTGTCCTTCAAGCGACTGCTCAGGTTGCTGTCTATTAGCCTGGAGTCTCTACGAAAGCATGGGAATATGGAAACGGTGTCAGAAATAGGAGTGAAACAGTCGTGTTTGCGGAGGAAGTGGCTATGAGCTTCGATCACTACTGTTTATTGTCTACCAATTGATCATTCCTGTACTACCGTTTTAGTTGCGCTGAAACATACTGCTCCGACAAGCAATCTCGTTAAATCAGAGTGTAGTTTCACCCAGTTTGTCCTGCTTAACCGCTTTTTCCACTGAAGAAGCTTATTCCTGTGGACCGCAGAAATGTTGGCGACCTTAGACTTACTCCATGAACTGCCTTATTTTGAAGCACTCAAGTTTTCTTCAGTTACTCTTCCACCACATGCTTGACTTCAGTCTAGATTGTGCTGGTTGCAAATCTTGGTCTGAGAATTTGGGGGAGGGGCACATACAAATTTACAGTTAGCTGTCCAATGGCACCACACAAGAATACTAGTGCGGTTTTCGAACAACTCCATCGCCCCGTACGTATCACTTTTCGTTCGTTCGAATGCCAATACGATGCCGAAACAGTGGTTGAGTTTAGTGTGAAGCCAAGAGGCTAGTAAAAACATGAAGTTCACCGTGTAGCAGCAAAAAATATTTCACAATTTCAAACTAAGCTTCTAACCCTCGTTGAATGCCGGTCCACGCTGAAAAACTGAGCGACACTGTTCTGCTATTTCATCCCTGTTAAGATTCTTCAGAATCTTTGGGGGTATTCGTCCGTGTGCCGTTTGAATAGAATAGAATAGGATAGAATAGAACAGAACAATAGTTGGCTGTTAAATACGAAACCATCTAACCGCTTGAGTTAGTTATGTCGACCCTGTCCGTGTAACATTCGTGAGAAATGGAGAGTTCTTGTTGTTAGTTTTCTTTCAAACGGAAACCGGAGGAGTTGGTGGAAGAAAAAAAACAAGCGACTGTGCTAGGTGAAGCAGTTGTTTTTTCGATTTCCTCACATTTCATGGAGGATTCTAGTCCAATCATCTAATTGTAGTGGAATAATGTATAGCCCCAATCGCGTGCCTAAACACATCGTCATCATCATTGGCAGCCACATCAGCGACAAAGACTAGTTCCTCACAACCATGTCGATGTAATGTAACAAAACTCTGCAGTGGAAGGAATAAGAAATCGGACAGAGATGGGAACCTAGGAGTAGCCTGTCACCTACACCTGGAGTGTCTACACCTCCAACGTTCAGTCAACTCATCTGGACAGAAACGGGCAGGATGAAAGCCACTGGAATTAATTAACCACCATCAGTGGCTCGATCCTATTACAAATCAGACTGCGCCAGCCTAGAAGATGAACAGTAACTGGAATTTTCTTAACAGCTTTCATTTCATCCTGCCGCATCTAATTGTATCCACCTTCAGGTCTCCGCTACTCTGAATTAGAAACAGAAAACAGCGCTCTTCTAGGTAGACGGTGACTCATCATATGTGCCACATGGTCCACCATCTAAGCATGTGGTGCTAAGTGCATTTCTTGGGTGAAGTACCTTATGCTCTACAAAGGGCACGTTCCCTGATCACCTCATGGAGAATTTGCTGATACCAACTGATCCAGCTATATATAGTGGTCTGTTACACGAAGATGCTCCCGACCCTCACTCCGCAGTGGCCAAGCCTTGCAGCCGCTCGACAGTACACCTCACACTGTAATCTGATACAGGCATCCTTTGAGACCCAGTCACATGCCTTTTTGGTGCCACACGAACGCAAGTTGGCAAATACATTTCTGCTCATATAAGTCCATCTACCTGCGCATCCATATCCCCGACGACCGTAAAACTACCTTAGTTCTTGTACCTTCGTAATAAAGTGCTCAGAGAGTTTTCAAATCCTTCGAAAGTATTGAATCCACAGTCTTTTGGGGCACTAACAGATACAACAAAATAAATTTTAAGAAATAATAAACATACAATAAGCAGACAGCGTCATCCGCTCGCTGACAAGGTACTCTCAGAGATGCTGCTAAGTGAATCACACATAGGGGACTATTTACTTGAGGCCGTTCACGTTAAGATCCTTCAGCTCGGTGGCTTGAAACGATACCAAGTCCTGCAGAACAAGCTGCAGTGGTCCCCAGAAGTGTGCAACCGTAAGGGAGAGAAAACCGATGGGGAGGGCAGTTTATCAAATGTCTTTGACGCGTGAATCCCCGTTTCGGAGACAGCGCACATCAATACAAAGTGAACCCTGGTTGCGACCGAGGACAGCCTCTTGCTAAGCTTGTTTCAAAGTACGAACGTTTAATTCTGTCAGATAAACAAAGCATCGAAAGGAAAAGAATGACTTCGGAGCGTCCGCGGCCGTAGTGGCCGTACTGTGGGTGACTGATCTTTCAGTCCTACGATGATTTTGCTAACCTGGAATATATGGAAGTGAAAAAGGTGTTAGCAGTGGTCTGTTTTCGCTCACCCACCCTGCTTTATTCGGCCACTAAAGCTATCCGCTCATGGCACAATCGCTTTTGTGGCACGAGTTTGTTTGAAGTTGTACGATTCGTGGCTAAACTTGGACTAGTATAGTACCAAGGTACCCGGACCTATACAGAAGAACATTTAGAGTGTTTAACCAAATCCTTTATTTGCAAAGTCTAACCACAAGGCAACGGTGGTTGGGACGAAACTGCCGGAGCAGCCTACTTTTATGGAGCAATTTTCCAAGATTTTCCAACCCCCCAACCTGGCGGACCAAGAGATTGTATTAGTCAGACCTCTATCCATTGACCAACCTGGTATTAGAAGCTCTGTAATTATCACACGTACACACCCTAGTATAGCTCAATGAGTTCTGGAAGCGCATGAACCGTCCCACCGCGATAAAATGGGACGTATGCCTACCGTGCATCCACCTTTTTACTTCCAAGCTCTGTGTTTTCATTTGCCACTCGAAGTCACAAGTCGAAGCCGTTTGGTTTAAAAATCTTGGTTTGTGTTTTACAGAGCCTTCAACTTTCCTCTTGCAGCCCGTGGACAGTTAGCCCATACCACAGGCCTTATGTCGGAATCCGACACGCAAGGACTGGCTAGTGACGGTTTCTTGAACAACTTGACGGCTGTAATTGTTCGCCTCACTGGACCATTGATTCATCCGACACCTTCTAATGATACGACCCTGGGTAAAATTTGGCCCAAATATGCCTCTGACCCCGGATCAGCTGATTCAATTATTCCTGGTAGGTTCTTGAGGAGTTGACAAAACGCATTCTTGATAAACCGTCAAAGTTACGGTTGTTTCTGAGTCTACAGGATTTGTTGCTTCCTTTCCTGGGAGAATAGGGTGCGGTTTTGTCGAAACCAGTTCTCGTTAACCATTTCGCAGCAAGAGTTGCGAATGTTTGATGTTCCATGTGTCATCCACCATTTTACCAGTGGCTCTCTCCCAGTTTACCTAAAAACAACCATTCAATGAACACCTAACTTCATTTAGAATGATGTCAGAGTGAACATGCCGAAAGTGTCACTTCCTGACAGTTCCATCATAGTCCAGTTTGGATTGTTCACTTCCTGGCATCAAAAGTAGTCGATTACCCCAGATTTGTTCAAACAATTGAGACACCGTCACTGGTGTAAATGCGTACGCTTACACATTTGGCAGCTCACAGGCGTTGACTTCGTAGAATGTAGTAGAACCCTTTCAGAACAACATCTGGTGAAAATGTCTGATCCAATGCAAAATACATTGTAACCAGATTCCTGTGTATGAAAAGGTACATCCTGATATAGTGGTACCCCCTTTTTCAAAGTAAGCTAGTCATATCCCTAAGAAAAAATGCTTTCGTTGCAAACAATGACTAGGGAAAAAATCATCATCATCATCATCATCATCATCATCATCATCATCATCGACAGCATGACATCGGTGTTCAACACCGATGCTTCACTGCCGTAACTAGGGACAAAACTTATCCTCTGTACAGGAAAAATGGTGTGGATGTGTTAACCAGCTAGTCGACAAAACAACAGCGGCAAAGCACGCGTCTGCACTCCCCTTTTACTTGTCAGACTTTGCTTGTTCCGTTGAGCACTCCGAAATTATGTCAACTGAGTGAACACTCACCCTCCTCCAAACCATTACCGAGTTTATTGCCTTTGTTCCGCGGATAACTGATAAAGTCAATTGTTATCACCCCGTGAATGCACACCTCAAGCAACTGTGTTTGTGATTGGTCTTTTTACGGATCACAGGCCTTACTGTATCAATTTCTACTGACCACTTCTCAGGTGTACTTATTTTGGTAGCGAACAGGCTCGAACTAGCGTGCTACCAATAAAAGTACCGGTTTTAAGTGCACCAGGAGCGAGATAGCTCAGTGGTTGGAGCTCGGATTTACTGACCGGAAGGTCCGTAGTTCGAATTCGACCTCTACCTCTCGACTTCCCCTGTCTAGGCTTGTGCGATCTGGTACTATCTCAGCCCTTGTGCTTCCTTCTGGTAGCATGGCAGTTAGGCACCGAAAGAGTGCTCCAGCTGAACGATGATTTCAGCCCACCTTTGACCGTCTAACTAGGTTATCTTTACTTAAATTAGTATTCAAAGATTAATAAAATAGGCAGAACATCCTGTGGCAAAAACGCGTAGTTTTTTTAATACTTCACCTATTAGAAACAAACTAAGGTATTTATCTGTCCAGTGTGAACTGTTCTCTCAATGGAGCAGTTCCAACATATTACGAATGGCTACAAGGCAGGTGGGTACTGTTGGACCACATGTCACTTGCCCATTCCCAAGGACATGTACTCTATGAAAGCCGAACAGTCCACAATTCTCTTAGAGAAAATAGTATGCATAGTTAATGTGAACAAGTCTCTAAAACCTAATTGAGATCGACCGGGCTCATTTCGGACGACAATTGTCGGCCCATATTGTGATTTCATTGCTTTCATCAACAGTTCGACTTTCAAGGCCAGATCCGCAAACATTTCCGCACGATACTGTGGTGTCTTCAAGCTCAACTTCAACGTAAATGGGCAAGTTTTCGTATGTCATGAACGACTTTCTTTGGTCAAATCAACTACCCATCTCTAGTCCAGTGAGTTGCTCTAGAGACATTCTTTCGCTAGAGATCCTGTGACAGGATATCGTCATTCATAGGAAGTTTAGAGTGAATGTGTTGGAAAATAGTTAAGGCATAATACAGGATTTTGAATTGTTCGAATGTTTAGAAGGATAATGTTATGCGCTCGGCGGCGAACCACTTCCAGTCGTCAAATACGACAAAGGTGCGCCGATTTTGAATGAGCGCTTCAGAGCGCATTAATGTTCATTCGCTAATAATGTTTTGATAAACCGAAACAAAGTTTTCCGAATTGGATCTCAGAGCTACCCTGTTCGAGATGAAAGGATTGGTATCAGAGTCTCTACTGCGCGGAATGTGTGTCTGTCTGATTCGCTCTCTTTGTCACCGTTTTTGGGGAACTATTAGCTCATTCGTCTGTTGCTTCGTGTGATGAACGAAACGGTTTCTTTGCACTTTTTGCATGTTCTTGGGCATGTAAGGGGGGGGGTGAAGGCCAAGAACATTGTCGGGTTTATATTGAACTCCTGTCAGTGGCCAACCAGTTATTTCTAGGTTGTCACTGGAATTTCTGCTTCACTGTTGGTCGAAAACAACGAAGCAGTTTGAAATTGCTTGACTCGGAGCTAAGTATGCCGCTATGTTATGAGAAGTGATTTGCGTGATATCTGGTAAGTGAAGGCCAAACATCTCAACAGGAAAATTCGTATTCAAGCGGACGTATATCCAAACGACAACTTAGCAACATCGAAAATTCAAACTTGATGGAGAAAATACACGGGACATTTTCAACCTCGAAGGAACGGATCTTCTCTCCTTTTTCCATTGCACTGTATTCGTTGGACAAATGTTTTCTGGTGAAAACGTCAGAGTGTTTTCTCTGATGTACTTTTGCAACACTGTTAGACTGATAATGGGATATAGAAAGATTTTATCGCAACACTTTTCACCCACCAGGGAACTTCAAAACTCAGCCAGACTCTTCATCATATGTATCCCATCAAATGTCATCCCAATTGGTTGATAAAATACAGTAGGAAATCCGTTTGAACCTCATTCCCATATTTGCCCGTATTGTTTGATATTAGGGCAGGCAACAGTCCTCCTTACGCAGCAAGTGACAAATAATCATCAGGGTTAACGGTGATTAAAGTGTAACACCACATCTCATTAATTGTTGACGCAAAATTTTTAAGAAACTAGCCAACCGATTGCAGATTAATCCTATGGTATCAAAATTGTTCGAAACAATTGCTCCTCAATGGTGTCTCGCACTTCTGTCGAAATGCAAGTTATGCAAACCGTAGTTCTTAGTTTGGAATATATAAACCCTCGTCACTGCCTAAATACACGTTTGCAAGCTAAGTTCATGTTCACGGGGGACTCAGCTGAATCCATTGTTTACGATACGACGGAGACTCGGGATTGGGCCTACCTGACGAACCCCAAGAAGCGTAAAACCGATCGTGGGCTGTCGGAGAGTTCCTATAAACTATAGCGTGTTCTGTCAGAGAAATCCTCATGTTTTCTGCAAAAGACAAGTTGAATAACTACCAGCTCTAGCCTGTGTGCAGGGGTTTTGTGACCCTGTGTCAGCTGGTCAGACCAGTCATCCTCGTCAGAAGCTCTCCAAATGTGGTTTGATGGAATATTTTGAAAATAATTCCAAGTAATTCGAATTTCGTTGTCGCACAATGCCACAGACAGGTAGTAACCAACAGGAGAGTTTTTGAAATTCCGCGCATTCTCATTCGAATTATCGCACTACTCCAAATTTCATCGACTGGCTTTTGTCCGTTCAGGTTTATGTGAAGAAACTCGACTCACTGGAGCAATGCCACGTACATGTACCGCCGCCGGCCAAGATGTTCAAGAATCCACTGATTACCCCTTGCTCACCGAGTTGTTTTTCCTTGCCCATGCATCAATTCGAGTTGGTTGGACCCCTCTGATCGCCAAGCATTTCGAAACTGCTCGTCAATTACACCAGTTAGAATCACAGTGGGAAGCTCACCAATCTACTTCGCTTGGGGCCGGTTCGGATCCACGAGGTAGGCTACCCTTGTCGGTTCAGTGTGTTTCTAGTTCTTTTGTTATGAACGATTTGACCTCGTAGAATGCGAATGTTCTGGTTAGCATGTGTCACTTTGGACTAACAGTAACTTGAGCTCAAGCAACCTCTCTGGCACAAATGTTCTGTCTCACTCCGTTGCTCACCGAGCGCAGGTGGTTGATAGTCTCTCGAGACTAATCTACATCGTATGTGAGTTGTGAAAAAGAGTCTCGGTTAACCAAGGACTGCGACCCGGTACCAGTAATAGTAAACGAGACGTTCAGAGGAGTCTCATGTGAAAACCAATGTGATATGCAAATGAGTGTGCCCATCGAAATATGTTATACTTATCAAATGCTATTGTAAAAACTGGTACTGCCGTCCAACAGCTGATCATTACTATGTATCTTTGGTCGACTTCACTGTCCAGGAAGTCCTCTTTTTTCCTCTAACGTTTCCTGGAGTTGATTTTTTATACTACTTTTGAGTGCATGTCCGTTCCTTAAGGCGACTGTTGCGAAATTACGTCATGTTGGATGGTCATTGTGCGATAATCATGTGTGGAATAATGTTTGCAGGGCAATTTCTCCGACAACTGATTCGTGAACGGACATCTCGTTATCTAGAGCAGTCAACAAGTTTATCTTGCGTGGCTCGCCTGCGTGATCAGCTTGCGTTCGCCGTCGCCACCAGTCAGTTCTTGGTCATGCTGGCTCATTCCTCTTTCGGCGGCTCCCAAACTGCACATACAAATGAATCTCAACACGGCCAGCTGTCCGACTTACCTGAGTTTCTTATGGACAATGTAGTGGAACTCGTCGGCTACTTGAGGCGTGCCAAGGATGACTTTATTGAGGTAACTGCTTCTCTTTTTCGCCCGCCTCGCTTGCTTACTGTTGATTCTATTTCCTCATGGTGCTTTCTTCTCTGCCCTATCCCGTCTTAGTGTGCTGAAGTCGCTGATATTCCATTGGAACCATTGCTCGAGTTGAGCATACTTTTTATGCGTCACACAAGTGCCTTGGCCAATCCGCATTTACGTGCCAGATTGGCTGAGGTACTGGAATCGCTTATTCCCCAGCGTGATGATGAAGCTTGGAATAACCAACAAGCCGCTGGAAGTGGTGCACTCGGACTGTCTCAGTTTTCCTTGTGAGTATTTTCTACAAGTGTATTTTTGTCTCCCAGAAAATAATAACTCCACCCTTAGTGAAAAATACCCATTTACGGTCGTCGGCTTGTTCGCGGAGCTGGGCAATTTGATTGTAATTGTTTCATCACCAATCGAGGTGACATCATCAGTGCGTTATTGAGCAACGTGGTGCTGCATAGCGGTGGGTTAGTAGTTGTACATACTAAACAAGCAACTAAACGCGTCTCGGAATGGGAGCATACTTCGAGCGTCTAGGGTCCTCCGAGTGACAATGCACTACTTGGTAGTTAATATTTTCTCGGAATGTATGCGTACCATCATCTCAAGGTAGGACGCAGTAAAATAGTACGCTAATTTATATGGCTATAGACAACTCTGCCGAATATACTGCTCCCCGTTTCTGTATTTTCTCACGGTTATTTACGTGCCCACAACTGCTCACTTCCGAGCTACTGGTGATAATGTGAATTTTTTGTCGGGAACCGGGATACTCAAGCCCAGGTGGGTTCTGCTAGACATATTGTTCGGGTCGGAGATAATTCACCGTTTCATTCGGATAATGGAAGGTAATCTTTGCCGAATGATTCCCAAAAATATCTAACCAGGTGATCAAACTATTTCAACTGATTATCTGCAAACACAGCATACGCGAAGCCCACTCTTCTCGAGATCTTTTTGTCTGGTGCAAACTAGTGTGCTGTTTTTGGATCTTCACACATTATTCCGAGAAAATTTCATTCCACGTGGTCAGGCAGGATGACTTCCTTTGCCTGGAGTTTCTGCTCTGGAAAGAGCACTTTATGGGGTGATTTATTTGTTCAGTCTTCAAGCCCTTTGTGACTCAGATCAAGGCTTCTAAAAACACTGCGAATATAAACCCGGTGGCTGTATGTCATATTTTTACAGCGTCCTGTACCTCACATTTCGAGTAGCCGTTCATTTGTTTTGCTCTACTTCTGTAATTCTTCTGTTGCAGCAGCAAGGGTCAGTTACCGAATAGGAGGTATAGTTTCTGTACGCCCAATAACTAACCGAAAAAAGTTCAGAAACCGCTGTGATAAAGTGTTTTGTCTAGCAGACAGTATTGCAACTCCTATGTGAGCCCTTGTCTTCCACTTCCGCCTTCTATGGTGTATCAAAAAGCCACGATGAATTGAGACAGCTCTTAATAGAGGCAAAGAAAAAACCATTACAACTACTTCGAGGTGAAATTTCGTCCTGTAATGAAAAGACTGCTAGGTCTAGTGAGTACACATTGTTACAAACAACAGAGCTTCCATGGAAGCAGGCTGTACCTCCGTGACAACATTTGTTCTGCCGTTTTCATGGTGACCTTGGTTCATTTGGCTGAAGCACAGCTTACCATTTCGGTGGTGGTCCCCTTATTCAGGTTGTCGGAGGAAATCGTATCATGCAGACACTGAGACGGGTCCAAGATAGCGATCATTCCATGTGGTTTGTAGAGATCGGATGTGTCTGTCCGTCGAGTCACTGGCTCCTTGGCTGCTCATTTGGCTTCCTCTTACTTGATTTCGTCATACTTTGATTGTGTTGCTGTTCGAATTTTGCATTATAACACGAGAAATGATGCGAATCGAAGATTCTCATATATACATGACACTAGATTTGTTGTCGTGTCGTAGGATGAATGCCCGTTTTCCACTTCATTTTTCTAGCCTTCGACGTCAACAGCTAATGGTCCCCACATCTACCGGTACGCAACAACCGGGAGCTTTCAGTCAGGTCGTTGCGGCGCTACTGACTGCGTTCGTATCTATAGAATTGTCTCCGGGTACGGATGTTGTTGGCAGCGCAGGCACAGCTGCTGATGTGCTAATACGGTCAGCATCTCAAGACAGTGCAGGAAGCAGTGCTGATGGAACGACTGAAGGATCCAGTCATCAGGAACAGTCAGCAGACACACAAGCTGCGACTGTCGGGTTTGAGGAAAAGTTTCATTATCGTCGCCCGATGTACGCATGTCTCCGGTTTTGGCATGGCAATCCTTTTTTCGACACCCAATTTACGGTATGTTTACTTTTTCATTTTGCTGGTCCATTTAATTAGGTCTGTTTATATGGCCTACCTCAAAAGCCGAGTTTGTCTGCTCTGTTTTCATTTGTTCATTTTTCTATGTGGATTCGATCAAGCTTTCAGTACATCAAGTGGAGTTCAAGCTGCGTGAATCTGCTTAGCCACCCTGGTTTTCATTTCCCGTGGTCCGCTGCTTAATCAACCGCTCATGCAGATGTACCGAGCGCTGGCTTTATTCACTAGCTACTCAACAGTATACAATAGAAAGCGAATGGTTGTGTTCCACTGTAAAGTGACCAGTGATTGCACTCAGTTTTACTTACCTAACGGCGAAGCAGAATTCGAGTTCATCCATTAGATGGTTCTAAAACTTCAAACCGGTTATGGTCACTCAGTAGTTTGAACAACATAGCAAAAACCGTTGCTTGATAGGGCATGCATTTCGTATTGCCTGGTCAGTACCGAACTGCCAAGAATCAGAAAACTTACTGAATTTATAGACGCAACACACTACTCATAAGGGGATTGAAAACCCTTCGACAGCTCACGACCGGTTTCGCCCTTCTTGGGGCTCAGCAGGTAGGCGCAGTCCCCGAGTTTCCGTCAACCTTATGCTCTAACCGAACCCAACTTCACGAAATTGGCTAAATACAGTCATTTGCATCTCTGCTCGTTTGTTTGAGTATCTGTGTGGGCGTGCACCTAGCCCTCGTGTCATTGAGTACGATACGAAAGTCCTATATTCCGGATGTCTAATGAATGCATTGGGTTGTATCTAAACTAGGGATAAAATGCGCTCACTTATGGCTGGTAGAGTGGAACCAGGTGTTAGCCTTTCTGTCATCGGCGCGCGACAGGAATCGTAATACGCGCACGCACTTAGAGGAAGCTACTCCAGCTTACGTCATTCTTTGCTGAAAGCCTGTGAGTTAATCTTTCTTTTAAGTTTGATTTTACGTACACTGTACAATTTCATATATGCGTAGTGTGAAAACGACCACATTGAATACTGAACCTAACTCCCTTTATACGTAACCGCAGGACATCCATACCGATGGTATTCCGTCCTTTTACTCTCCTGTTTTTCCTCTTTAGCGGCTGGAAACTGAGGCTTTACATCACATTGAGGATGCCACCCCACCGTTGTTTCTACAGTTCCTCTCATTATTGGTTAACGATGCTATCTTTCTTCTGGACGAAGCGATTAGCCTATTAGCTCAGTTGAAAAGAAAAGAGCAAGAACGAGAAGCTGCTGGAGGAAGGTAGGCTGGCCAACTTATTAGGAATTTCAAACTTATGAAACGCTGTCAGTGTATTAAGTGACTTTTCGCTTCTGTAGCAGTTGTGTTAACCGGTATTGGTGTGATAGTTTGTATCACAGTGGGTGAAAGGTCCCTGTCCCGTCGGCCATACTCATTCGAATATATTCGGCTTATTCACTGAACGGTTCACTCAGGTTCTACTCAACGGTTTGGCCTGGTTGGCAGGGCTAGTATTGCCCCCTTTTTGTGCACGATAAACCTCTTCTAAAGGACACAACCAGGTTTGGACGTAGGGTACTACGGATTTGATAGCTTGTACGACCTGTTCACTTGTGCTATCCATTTTTCCTTTTTGCATACTGTTGCTTCCATGGCTAGTTTTTGTCCCATATCACAACATTTCAATGCTTTTCCAACTGGTTGGGGACATCCGTTAGGGATTTTCACCATCAAACTGGCTAATACCTTCATATCGTGATCATGAGACTTAGATGCTGTTTCACACTATGTTCATTTGGTGTGACACTGCTCAAGAATGTCCTGTGATATAGGTGAATATTAAGGCAAATTGGTCACTTATACACTGCATTTTGTTCCATATGTGGCCATCACTCCTGGTCGAATATACCCTATCTTGATTTGACGGCGCCAATGAGCGTATCATATCCGTGATATCGAGTGTGCGTAACATTGCCAAATACATGTCCCCACAAGGTCTTTGTCATCATATTTGTCACTGGATGCTCAGAAGTTACTTATTCTCTAAATACTCAGATCGTTTGCTTCCTTGATGCACCAGTTTTGGGAATCACCACACGGCTATTCCAGCCTTGTGGATGATCAGCATTGTACTTCACGAGCCCCTAGCGTGATTCGAACCCGCAACCTCTCTCGTGGGAGTGTAAGTATTCACCTTGGTAGCTACAGTAGACTAACCAACAGTGTAACCAGCTTGTATTCGGATAGAATATGGTGCCATTCATGCTTAAACCCCACAATCCAAGTTATATCTGCTTCGCATCCGTTAAATCAGTTAAACTGTCCAGTAGTGATTCCCTTTTTTATTGTTCGCTCGCGTCCACACCACACCAGCTACAGAAGCCTTGCAAGTCTAGTAATAGTATATTCTTTGATTTCTTGCTCGTTTCACCAAATGCTTTCTTTCTTGTTACAACACCCATAGACTTGCTACCGAGGAAGAGGAGGCTCTTTTCATGCACACCGGACGCTTAGCACGACACCATATCATGCTTGGTTTGGACACAATTGCTGCCCTCCGTCGGGTTCTTTCCGTATGCAAGCGGTTAATCACGCACCCAATCTTGGTAGATCGAGTGGCCTGTATGCTCAACTATTTCCTAGTTCGTCTTGTGAGTTAACGTATTGTCTGTCCCACTTTTCTGTTTAGGGTTTGTCGAATCTATATTGGACTAATAATCTCACCCAGTATAGTTAGTCTGATTCCTTCCGTTTGCTTTCAATACATGCGGGTACATGGAATTCTTACCTGCACGTTTACCTCCGCTTTGCACTACAAAAGGTCAGTCCAAAACAGCGGGACCTCACCGTTCGCGATAAGTCGGCCTACGGGTTCAGACCGGATCTTCTGGTCATCGAAATCTGTCAAATCTATTGTACCCTGGCCTTGGATGCCCCCAGTAAGTTTCAAATCTTTTTGCAGCCTTCTTGTACATCCCTTACGTAGCTGTCCTTTCCTTTGAAGCTAGGACAAGCATCATCATACAAACTGCATCAGATATCAAGGTGATCCGTTTTTTTTTCAAGTCATGTGTTGTATTGATATCATCAGCTGTTCGTTTGACCCGAATCTGTAGCGCTCGCCTCGCCGTCATGTGTTGAAGGAACCGAACACTCCTAGGTATCTGCTGTGTTCAGTCCTTTCTCCTAGTCGAATTGCATCGATGGTAATTTTCATTGCGCAGCCCATGTGCCGATGCCTTTGTTTTGTGCAAGCAGGTTTCACCGCCTGGTACAATGTCATTGACCAAAAGGCCACCCATCGCAGTTTCTGGACAGCTAAAATAACTACTGTTAACTCTTAGCTCTCCGTAGGCTGACTATCCCTCTTTCTCAAACTAGACGGTCTGATTCCCGATACAAAACCTTTTTTTCGTTTATCAAGCTCTTGCAGCATCATCGGCCGATTTTAGGTTGATAAATTGTCTACTGTCCGAGTGCACGCAGGATTGAGCAGTGAATTGTATATCAGCGATCCAGAGACTTCGACGGATGCTTGAAATGCATCCGTGTGATCGTTGGTTTGTTCGCTGAGCTGGGCAATTTGATTGTGGCACAACCACCGATCCATCGCTACGCTCTCTTACACTCCACTGATGACGTCACCTCGATTGGTGATGAAACGTTTGCAATCCAACTGCCCAGCTCAGCGAACAAGCCAACGACCATCTGAGCTATCAACATTCTTCTCCATAGCATTCATCCGTGTTTTGTCTTTTCAAATAATCCTTGCCTTTTTCTGGTGCTCGTTATTAGCGAACGGCCAGCACTCACAACTCGGAATTATTATGTTGAGGCAGAATTCCAGCTTCAAACGAGAAACGGCGATTTCGCTGATTGTATGCCCCTTTCGACGAGAATTTCATCTAACTAACCATCCACTTCTTTTCGTGAACATTTTCATGTTATGAACCTATCAATATCCGATGTGCAACATACTAGAAACTTTCTGGGTTTACTCGACCCAATCATGATCCATCCTAACGTCATGTTATATATCTCACTGACACTGACCTAAATAACGGCCAGAATTCTTGCTTCCTTCGCGCCACTACCGACCCATTCGTTTATGCTCTTATTTTTTCTGATCTAAACGATCAGGTGACGCTACTTCCTGTCACGCGGAATCGTTTCGGCGTGCCGTCGTTAGTGATGAGCGTTCGTTCACACCAGACCTCTTGGATCAGGCTTCTAATGTGCTGACACGTGTCGCTAGCTCACCCGAGCTAGTTGAGAAATTCAACCAAGCCGTAACGCTGATCAAGGTTAGTCGAATGTTTCATGTGCAGTCAGTGCATTGCGCTATAGCGCATTCAGTTGATTAGTCGATCTTTGTGAAGGATTACGCATGATTCCTCGGTCTGTCTCGATTTGAAGCAATCAATCCCATTGTTCTTTGCGACAGTAATGAGTTGCAATTTTTCAAGATGCTTCGGTTATCTACTTGGCATTCCTAGACGATGCCTTTTTTGTTTCAAACAGAGGGAGAATGTTGAGAAACTTGAGGACGATCTGGATATAGATGATGCACCGGATGATTATATCGACCCCATCATGGGTCACATCATGGAAGATCCCGTCAAACTGCCTACCTCTGGTCACGTCGTCGACCGTAAGACCATCTATCGTCACCTGTTAAAGTAAGTTACCACAATCTTGCCACTTTCCACCATTCAGACAGTTATTCTTATAACTAACAGTTCACTCGTAATTCAGAATTCAACTGCGACCCTCTGTCCCTGTTATCTGAATAAACGATTTATCATACTCCTCATTATCGACATTGACCGGCAGAAAATGACGCTAAACTCTGTCAACTATGAAGAACAAGCACCCTGTTGGAGTGGAACGAAAGGACAAGAGTAGGGATTTGGTCCAAAAAAGCCCACACTATTTAACAATAATGAGATAAACATCGTATCGAAGTGACGCATCATCAGTAAGATGGACAAGACATCCTTAGCGAACCTCATCCAACACATACGCACAAGCTTTAGTAAAACACCCCGGCAAATAGGTGGCAGAATGCTTGCCACTGGAGTCGGTTACGTGCCTATCCCGTAGGGTTTTCCATCGTATGCAAGGAGGATCAGCTGAGCTCTAGCTGGAAAGGGGCGAACATCGCACAGCATGCGTTTCAACTGCAGCTGCTTCGATGTACTAGCCGTCCCCTGAGAACTTTTTCACCGACCAAAACCAGCACTTTCTCTGGTAGACATACTTGATGCATGTTCCAATCACTGTAACCTAATGACCATTCTTTGCTGTTGTGAGTATTCTGATTCGTTACCATGGACTTTTCTAAGCCTTTGGTTGTGTGGAGTAGTGCCTCCCAAGAACTTAGCTCTGAAGAGGGAACGCTTCCACCTCTCCCTGCGGACGAACGCCCCTCAGGCGCAGTAACGTAAGCCAACAGCCTTCTCACTGAAGACACGAAGCAATATTTGTCGCCTAGCAAAGCCCCAATGATAGCTATGGTTGTCGATCTCTTTCGGGAACAACTATTTGATGTGACGTTATTCTGTAAGGGACTAGAATCACTCCGCTTGGATCTAATGCACTATCCCATCAGGTTGGCAAAACAGGGACTTATCTTGGAGTTGCTATCGTAATGCATGACCCAATGCGCCCCATTCATCGATCGACCCCGTTTAAGTTCTTTTCCGTGCACTGAGGTGTAGAATGTCTGAGTGACCGTCAGTGTGACGCCACTAAGCAGAAGAATGAACTGGCGTAGATGGTTAAGGTAAGTTGGTTTGGGATTCATCAATAGGGAGAGGAAGGCTGCGGTCGATGGCCGAACGTGTGAACGGAAGGACGTTGATTCCAAGCCTAGGCATAGAACTTACCGAGCATCTTTCACATTTTCCGTTTTGTTCGTTCCTCCTTCCCTGATCATCCAACGCGTGTATCGTTTATTTCGTTTGGGAAAACCATTAGTTGGGCCAGCTTTGGTTCCCTGTCGACCTATAGATTCTCATTTGCTGTTGTCAATAACATTTAGAATTTATTACTTCAGTATTAAGCGGGAGGATGTCGCGTAAGTTGTTTTAATGATGCCCATATGCAGATATCACCTGATAAGTATGACTGCACTGTCAGCCAAATCGGTGTAAGCGTGGATACACTTTGCGTACAGGATAGAGGTTGAATGCCTCTGAGGAACACATTACCCTAGAAATCGGTTATCCCTGAAACAAGCGGGACGGCTTTATCCGGTTCCGAAACCGCAATTGTTAGAAGGTATTATCGTACATTACACCCTATGTCTTACACCCCGCCCCCTATGATAGTCCCATCCCCAAGCCAACAGTGGGGCTGTGCACGGCAGTCGTAGGTTTGGATTATTCGTTCCCCTAGATCATGAACACCTGTTTAAGGTAGCCAAACTCACCTGATTGGAAGAGGAGCATAATACTGTACACGAACGTGCGATTTTATTGAGATCTCAGTCCACACCTAAATGTTGCTTTTTTCAGTTCCAGATGTACTGCTAACTTGGATGCACGTAGCTAACGTTGATTTCATTTCACTGTTACCCTTGTTTGCAGCGATTCCACAGATCCCTTCAATCGGCAGCCACTTTCTATGTCGCAGGTTGTACCTCAGGAAGATCTCAAGGCCGCCATTCGTGCTTGGGTGGCTGAGAAACGTACGCAACGGCAAAAGTCGTAGTGTTTTTTTTCGAGATTTCCCCCTACTTTCGGCCCCGACTTCTGGTCGTTCAAGCTGTGATCGATAATATATTGTGCTCACAAATCCTGAGTTCTTACAGTGGATACCGACCAATCATCCACAATTGACTACCGGGTTGTCATCGGTTTGTCTTTTTTAGTTACTGTTGCAATAAACAATTGTTGCTCCGCCATTCTTCCAAGGATCAAAGACAGCAAATGGATGGTTTAGGTTAGGACGCCACTGTTAATACTTTTGGCAAATTGACGGTCCCCTCAACACTAGCTATTACCCGTGCAAAGATGCCAACGCATATATTGATTGATTGTATGCGCCAATACACGTTGGAATCCATATATACTTCACCTCTTTCGAGATTCCCTAGCTGTAGATGCATGCCACCCCACGAACCCACTGGTGAATGCAGGTGTGGATAAGTGAGCTGTATTGTCGTGGTCGTTGGCTTGTACGCTGAGCTGGGCAGTTTGATTGCAAACGTTTCATCACCAATCGAGGTGACATCATCAGTGCGTCATTGGATAGCGTAGTGGTGGGTTAATGGTTGTGCCTGTCTCCGTTGTTTGAGTGCTTGTTTGCCTACATTTCATATTCTGTAGTTCTGATTAATGCTGTCCCAGTTTGTAAATTTTTCGCGTCATCATGGACAGCATGACATCAGCGTTTAACACTGAAACTTGGCTGCCGCACAACCATGATTTATTTGAAGGCCTCATGGTGAAGAAAAGAACAAAGGTGGACGGCGAAAAGACTTAGTGCTAGCTTAATGCAATCATTCCAAGGCGCCATCAAACACTCGTTCAGGTAATCTGGATAGAAACTGACAACGAGAAAGACATTGACATCGATTAGCAGCCACATCTTACAGCGTCTCCGACCACATGCAGTGCGGTCCACGCGGTCCTCATCCTAGAAGGCGAGTAGGATCAATAGCACCAAAATGTTTCGTAATCTCTCTCACACCCCTCTGTCACCTCAAAATTTGATCACCTCTCTGATTCCACCACTGTGAATGAGGCACGGAAAACAGCATTCTCCTAGGCAAACGATGTTTCGACATGTGCAATACACGGCCTAACCACGCAGCCTCTGGTGCTGTACACATTCTTCAATAGAAGCCCCCAACGCTTCCCTTTCTAAATTCCTCGTAAGGGTTTGTCGACACCAACCCGCACGAACTATGGTCCTGAGACAACGATTGTCGTCTCAGTTCCGCTGCTCGAACAGGCCAAGTCTCACAACCATAAAACAAAACAGATCTTACCGTAACCTGATACACACGTCCTTTGGGATTCAGGGATATACAGCTTTGACGCCGTAAGCAGGTTGCTGCTTGTCTGTTCGTTGAGCTTGACAATCAGCTTAAGGACATTTTGTCACCAATCGTGGAGATATCATGAGAGAACACTCAGTGAGTCCCTCCCTCTGAATCCAGAGTGATATGTTCCTTATTAGTTGGCTTCATATTTGAAAAGCTTTATTACGGAAATACTACCACTTGTGCCCAAGCATTCTCTGCCTGATTCTAAACATAGCATTTTAGAAAAGTTATCCTTTCGTCAGTTTTTATAGAACAAAAGAATGTCCTGTAGCAGCCTTCGTATGAACAGCACTGATGACTAAAGAGATATCTGCAACAAAGCGCAGACATTTTACGAACCGGACCATATGGACAAACAAAAATCGAAGGGAAACGGAAGCCCTTAACTCGAAAGAGAACCGCTCTGCAGACACGTGTACTGGAACGAGTTGGCCTAATGGGCATTAACAAACTCAAAACAGTGCGGCTGATCGGTCTCAGGGCTGTGGTTATCTGCGCAGCCGGATGTATCAACGTGTCGTACAATTCACATTCGATGTTTCCTCCGAAAACATCCTATTATTTTACGGCTTTCAGCCTCTCCTGTGATACAGTCCGATGGAGCATTAGCATCTGATTTGCACGGCCGTGTCAATGCAAAACAGTCTGTTCTGGTGTGCAGACTTCGTGCAGGACATAGAACTCATCCAAAAAAAATCCAAACATGTTTTCTCCCAACCCGCGACAACTAGGAACCTGGTGAGATCAAATGCCACAGATGTGGTTTTCGAGCTCCGTAATCGCATAGATATTCCGCCGGTTTATCCTTGGTCTAGTAGAACAGTGACGCTTAGTCATCGAAGCCCTTGGTCGCCGTTGCTTTGCAGCTTTCTGACTGAGCCCAAAGTTCGTAATCAAAACCAGCACATTCGTGATAAATTATATTCATCGAAAAATTCACGCGCAACTATGACATCACAACGATAAGAAAATGTAGACTTCTGACTTGGAATGATAAGTTGCGAGAACAAAAGTACATAACGTAAAAAAACAGCATTGCACAATTCCATTCAATCCACGAATGTTTTATCACAGTGAACTGAGAGTTTTCTCTCCCATATTCAGCCGTTGTGGAATCAGGGGACCGTTAAAGTTGTGACCTCACAACAAAGGCGACTGGATTGTGCAGGTATTCCACATGTATGTTTTCTAGCGAAATTTTGTGACAATCAGTAGAATTCCAAACACGATAACAAGAGTCGCCAGTACCATGATTACCAACATTTTACGATCCTTGGACTGGTAATGTTGCGCCTTCGACAGTTGTTGGAGGCCTTGTTCCACACGGATTTGTGTATTCTCCACATTGTAGTCAATTCGGTCGACCAGTGTGCCCTAACATGGGTGATTAGAGATAGGCGAACCGATTAGTAACGAAAATACTGCAATTTAGACAGTGAGTCCATAAACTGAAAAAGCCCCAGGCATTTTTCCACAATCGACGCGCTTAGGTCTGAGGCAAGCTGCGTTAAACTGGTCAGTCTTACATACTTCGAAGCCGAAATGACAAGATCATCACAATGGACAACATGGCATCAGTGTTCAACACGGATGCTTCCTTACCGCACAACCATGATTTATTCGAAAGCCTTATTGTGAAGGGAAGAATAGAGGTAGACGAGGAAGAGACTTGGTACTAGCTTATTACAGCCACTCCGAGGTGCCTACACCTCCAAACTCATTCAGGTAGTCTAGATAGAAACTGAAAACACGAACGCCATTGACATCGATTAGCAGCCATATCTTGCAGCGTCCCCAACCATGCACAATGGGGTTCACACGTTCCCCACCCTGGAAGGCGAGTAGCACTGAACGTTTAGTAATCTCTCTTATGCCCCTTTGCCAGCTACAAGGTTCACCACCTCTGTGCTCACGCCACTCTGAACTGTGCACGGGGAAAAAACACTCCCCTCGGCAAACCATTCGGCATACGCAATACATGGCCTAACCAACGCAGCTTTTGGTGCTGGACACAACGTTCAATGGAAATCCCCATGGTACAACCGAAAACTCGCTTTCTAATTACCTCACTATGGATTCGCCGACACGAAACCACAAGAGCTATCCTTCAAAGACAACGATTGTCGGACGCCTGAAGACGTCTCAGTTCCACTGCTCGAACAGGCCAAGACTCACAGCCATACAAGACTGCCCGTACCGTAGCCCGATACACACGTTCCCTAAGGATATTCAACTTTGACGCCATAGGTGTCTTAAATTAGTAAACGCGCCCCAATCATTGCAAATTTGTGCATTGACAACTTCCAAGATACGTGAAACGCCCCACAACTTTCCGTGCCTCTACCTGGATTGTAAGTGGTAGGCTCAGTGACTGCATGACCACGAGCATGACCTTACACTTTGAGGGTGCAAAGTGCATACCAAAGAAGGGAATGACTTTGGTCAGTTCATCCAAAAACACTTACGCCTCCTCCTCTCCAAAGACGAGAATGATATCCTCTGCGTTTTCCAGAGTGACAAGGTTTGCGTCAGAGGCTATTTGAACACGGGTTTTGAAGACCTTCCAGCGTCCGTCTCATTATCTAATCGACCACGAAATTAAATAAGACTGGAGAGAGTGGGCGTCTCTGACGAACAACGCAAGCTTTTGGAGAGCTCTCCGTATACTTCTATACGCCCGGAAATCTGAGAATACGAAGAACGTATTATGTTCAGAAACTTCTGGGGCATTCCTCGATCGGCAAGCGTGTCAAAAAGAACACACCGGTTAAACGGTTGCAGCAAATACCTGATGAGCCCCAAGAAGGGCGAAACCGGTAGTGGGCCGTTGAAGAGTTTTCAGTAACCTTGTGAGTAGCTTCCTTTATGAAAATATACTGGTATATCTCGAATATCGTGTCAACTGAAACATGAGACGGCCTGTGTGCAGCACATTCAGTTGTAGAATAGCTTAAACGAGAGATTCAGTTGAGTCTCTCGTAAAAAACTGATCTGTGAATGAGATTATTTCTTGAAACTAAAGATCCTAAAAACGCGCGGTCTCATCGATGTCGGGATGCTTCACAACGTGGGGAATACAAATGTAGGAGGAGCAAGAAAATTTATTCGATCCCACTTTCGACCCGACAGGGGCGGGATAATGCTTCTCTACAAAACATGATGTCCCACAAGGACGCCCATTTTTGTCTTCATTCTTGTTCACCTTCACCAGTGAAATGATGAGGTGAATTCCGGAGGGTCATCAAAACAAAGGTGTTTGGACTATTGCTAGTCATAACCTTGTTGATCTGGACTACGCAATTGAATTCGCCCCAAGCTTCGAAGACGAATCATAAGCACTGTTGAATATACTGACTGCGCCATCGCCATGTGCCTTGCACATGAGGACATCCGGCCTGAGCCGGCCAAATGATAGAAGATTATCACGCAGATCCAAAGCGACCAAATCCAACATATATGGACCTTAGACCACCTTTAGAAAGATCTCTTCTGTTCTGGGACTTCATTTTCCTTCATGTGTGTATTTCTATGCCGACACATGCCAGAAACTTGGAAAACTTCAATTTCATGCTGAGACAACTTTCGCAAATCCCTTCAGCGTTAGTTGGTGACGATGGACGCGTACAGTTTCCACGAAGTGAAAAGATCAGAGAAGTGACTGGAGAACCTATGTGCAGTTCAGAAATATAATCCAGATCGCTGAGGGCAGCCGGTGAAGTAGAAGACTAAATCTAACTGTTCGATCAGAGGGCTATGGGATAAATTGGATGCACACAATAAAAGAGTTCTTAATGTTCTGAAGGCTGCAGGTCAATGGTATTGTTATGAGCAGATGAATGTGAGAAAAAGAACGAACGGATAATAAACACCAAAGAGAAGAACCACCATATGCGATATGGTGAATTACGATTGGTTTATACTGTGTGATAAAAGTACTGAGTTTCTCAGTTTAATTCCGACATAGATCGGGCTATACAAATTCTAGTATCCAATCATAGGAATGACCGAGTTTAGCCTCACCTGATCAACTACTAGTTGTGCGACATCACGAAATATCTCATTGAGTTCGTAGATAGATCGGACGATCTGATTGATCTCATGTTCGCGCTGAGCAACCGCTGCAGTGTTTTCCTCCAACAGCATTTCTCGCTTTTGCTTTTGTGCCTCCCAAAGCTGTGAGAACGAAAACACGAGTAGAATGAACTTGACAGAGGCAATAGCTCAGTAAAAATCGTCTACTGGTGGGGAAGATGGTTCCACCCATATGGGCCCAGTTAGGTAATGGCCGATTTATCAACACAACGAAACAAATCAGAAATTGACCCAGAAGAAGCAAGTAAGGCACGTAAACTGACAGAGAAATACATCGAATGTCTTATGGACGGCATGAGAATTCTTGGAAAACACCACCAATTAACTGACGGGGTAATGAGACTTTCTCCATGTGTGTGAAATCAAGTCGGCTACGGATATACGCAGGTAGACAAAAGAACAATACAGCGCTCACAGCCTCCAGCAATGTCTTGTGCAGCCATTTAGTTGGACAACAATGAGGAAAACGCATACTATCAGACCGAAAAAGTAAACAACAGGAGAAAACTGGCAACGATACAGGGACAGAAACTCAAGATGGGATGAATGGATATGTGCTCATCATTGCCTGCGACACGTTAACCGGATCAGTGACTCCAAGGATTTAAGAGGTTTACCACCTATTGCGAGGAATACATACGTACAACTTGGTGTTCAAGTTAAGATTAGCGCCGATGGATTAGGCCTCCCGGATGAACCTTAACAAAAGGCGAATTCGGAAGCGGAGTGCCCGTAGTTTTCACCGATCAATCGGTACTATTATGAATTTATCTCCTGACAGACATCTGCCAACCCTCTAAACAGTGATTTAGTAGTCAGACACAACGTTCTCGGTCGGTCATCACTTGCTCAACTCTATTCTGACTGAGGTTTCGTAAGCGGCTCTCAGTGCGACAGTTTCTAGAGATGAAGAACACTGCCTAGGTCACCTGTTTCCAGCAGACTGGATATTAGGCTGCCAACTGTTATTATTAGTAAGAATAACAGAAGGTAGAGGGCGGATAGGGATGGTCGAGCGCCAATACATCGAACGTAACGTTGTCCTGCTAAAAACGAACTTTCTCAAGTTGAGGACCTTCAGTGGTAAACAGCTGCCTCGTAGAACTTCACGCTTTGGACTTTGTGTCTTAGAGAAGTGAATGGGAATGCTTCCAAAAGACTTTTTCCGCATTTGGTCCCTAAAACGCCTCAATCCTTGTTGATCTTATCCAATAGAAGAGACTTCAATAGTGAAAGAGCTTTTACACATCTCTAGCAACCTCTGGTCAAGGACAATTATATCAGCAAGTGACCGGGGGTTCTGCTTTCGCATCTTGGAGACAGCTCAACCCTTAGGTGTTCCCGTAGGATCTCAAATGGGAAAAAGGGTTGATAAATCAGTTGATCCATGCTTTTTGGTTTGGGGTGGCGGGTGTGAATGATGACATGTCACAGATTGCTTAATGAGTGACCTTTGCTGAAGCGCTATGAGGGGGGCTTGACCACTGTGTTTACTCTAGAGAGTGAGGAGAATGAGAACCAGCTGTCTGGTGGCTAGACGCTGAACGTGATAGTAAACCACTCAGTTCTTTATTGTGCGATGGCGAACGGTTCAAACATGATCAAATCGGGACACTAGCTAATTCATTCATATGTTTATGGCGTTTAGACATTTCTAACCCGCTACTGTGAGATATCCGCCCGAAACAATGAGTTTAAATGTTTATTGCAGCTTCTTACATTGCAATTGCGACTGTAATATAAAGCTCGGGCGACAGACAGTACGAGGATTCGCTTCAGATCTGCCACACTAAGAGGCGTCTCGGAAAGGTCATGAATTTGAATGGCGTATCAGTGAAGTTGAGGCCAAACGTATTGGCGCGCATGAACTTCGTGTCAAATCGTCGCATTTGGTGTCCTACAGTGACCCCATGGAGGGAACAACCTTTTCAGATTTTGTGGGTTGCAAGCTAGCTGAAATCTCCAGTGGAGATGAAAATAATAATGAAAATAATGGATCAGTTGTAGCACTCTTTTGGCGCCTAGCTGCCATGCCACTCGAAGGAAGCACGAGGAGTGAGAAAATTCCGGAGTGCCCGAGCGTAGACAGGAGTAGTCGAGATGTAGGTCAAATTCCAGTCACAGAGTTCGCGCTTTAACCACCGAACCATCTCAAGCTCGGTAGAGATGAAACGGAATTGCTCTTCGTGCAGATCCAAACCAAACTCATACCAGCAAACGATCTAGGCATCAAAGAAGTTTCCTAAGAGGATTATTGCTCGTTGAGAAACATCAATTTTCCCACAGTAGGACGATGCACAAAAATGGATATTTCAAGGGCCACACAGCAGTGTTAAAAATTGTCTCAAGCATCAAGCGAGAAGCATAATACTGTCCATGGAGGACCGAACGCGAAACTGAAGGTTACGGACACCTGTTACGGAGATAAAGGTAAAGATAAAGTGCACCATAAAAGTCGAGACAGTTCACAAACACGTGAAGATTGATGGGGCAGCACAATCATTTCCGCAGGCTGCTACGACCTGGTATATTAGTTATGCTATGCCACACGCAGAAGTAAGCATGCCATTTATCAGCGGATCAGTGTGAAACTAGAAACCACACGAACTCGGTAGATATCAGACGGCGAATCAACAGGTGGGTGAACGTGTGATCACATAAATACGCACCCACACGCACACGACAAGAGCAACAGAGGTGCGGCAGGAGCAAGAGAGGTAACATGTACGCCAGTAAATTAGCCAGAAGGAGGAAACAGCAGCATGAAATATCGGGTATCCACTGGAGTGAGACTTTCCCCTGGAAAAAGTCCTTTAAAAGAAGTAAGGGCATATTCGTAACAAAAAGAAAACTAAGCGAAAACCGTGTGCGATTCAGGGTGGCTTCCAGATTTACCTGATATTCCTGATCTCCAAAATCGTCAAGTCCGGTAGAATTATTTTCTAACAACGGGCCCCAAGAGAGATAGCCTTGGATTCGATCATCACGTGATTTCAATTCTGCAATGAGAAAAATGCACATTGGCAGAGGGCGGGCATGCACTCATGAGCAGAATACAAATGGGGAAATACCAAGGGAGGTGCATGATCAAAGGAAGGAATGAAAGGAAGTAAGCGTGCCGTCTGGAAGTCACCGGCAGTTTCTCAAAAAGTCTGACGGGTACAACGACCGGAGCCAAGAAGCCAACTGACTTCATTTAAATGCAAACCATACATCGCGTTTCAGTTGTCTGTATAGCCTAGGCAATAAAGCACATTTTTTACTAGTGGTTACCTTGGCAGGCAATGAAATTCGTGCTAAAATCATTCTCATGAAAAAATTCGGATGATTTAGCGCGTGCAAGTTGGTCGCTCAGTTTCCTCAATTTACATTCAATGAATATAAGTTGAAACGACTTCGTCAGCTTTGAGGTCGTCTTCTACTCAGATCATTAAAAAGTCTCTAATGCAAAGTAAATGATGTCAAGCATGGTGTGTGATAGGGTTACGGACATTTTTCAGACCTCGGCAGACAACTGAAGACAAAACAACTCACAAAAATCACAGAATGAATCCCATCACGACAACTACGACGGAGGCGAATTATGGTACCTGATAACAAAACAGTACAGTCAGCCATACAGCTGTAACATCGTTCCGGTGACTAGCTGCTATGCCACCAGGAAGTACGAGGGGTGAGATGCTGTCAGGTTGCCAAAGCCTAGAGAGGAGCAGCCGAGACGCTGAGGTAGGGTTCGAACTGTGTACCTCCAGTACCTTCGCGCCTTAACTGAGCTATCCTAGGCTCATTGTCTGAGAACAGGAAAGCCCTTCTGAAACGATGACTTCTCAGTCGGTTCCAAACCTTTTCCAATTGATTGAGAATGAAAAACATTAAGCTTGAGGAAACATTAAGTGCAGAATACCCAACACAACCTACTGTTCAGATATTCTGATTGCGCTTTTCTGAATGCCAATGATAGATCTTGGAGAGTACGAGCCAAACTGGAGAGAACATTTTCGGATAACTTCTGAGACTGAGATCCTTGCCACAACGTTGGCGAACGTCTGAGAGCTGAGAGTTTACCCAACTGCCGGTGCGATAAGCTAAAGACCTGTAAGAAAAAAGTATAGGGATTAGGGTTGTCCGCAGAAGACAAAATTCTACAGACAGAATGCGAGACAGATAGACAGAGAAATAGTTCTGTGGTAAATTGAAAGCACATCAGTACGCATACAAATAGTATCGCAAACAGCATTGCATACAGATTGGCGGACCAACGGATGATGAGATGGCCATCAATCGTTGGCTGATAAAGCCCAAATCGTGTTGGAATTCTAGTCGGTGGTTAAACGCATCCTCAGTGATATTTCGCCAGGTGGCTTCGCTTTGTAAAAGAACGATGTGGCCTTTAGAGTAGAAGAATGAATTCAAAGCGACTCCAACCTAATATGACAATGGAACTTATGGGAGGTCTGTGATAGTGAGGGTCCATCAGAAAACTGTACGTGAGGAGTGACACTATATACATTACACATACCAGGTGGAACGCGTTTACTAGACACGTGAAGGCTTTCCTATTCTGTGGTCAACTCACGCAGGCCATGGACAAAAATCTCTTGTGTACGCTTCATCTTGCGATGGCATTTCAAAGCATAGGCTAGAGATAAAATATTCACCTCAGTAAGCTCTTTGGTTTGTTGTTCGATTTCTTGATCTTCATCCAGGTTGTCGTCCAAATTGGTTGCCATCAGGTGCCGGTTATGGAGAGCAACTAGTTCCTTCACTGAAATCAAACAGATGAGAATCGAAAGCGACATTTACTCTTCTGATGGATCAGGGTAAATGTGTACTGTACTGAGTTGACCAGCGATTGCCATTCCTGAGGAACCCGACTCCGTGAAGTTTTCTCAATGTCATCATCTCGGGACTTTGGGACGAGGGCTTCCCGATCATTTGTTTTCTGTGACAAATTAACAAGGACAAAAAAGGGTCATGAGGTCGGCGCTTTTCGCCCTATGTAGACACACGAAACGACAATCACACCAATAGTAGCCCTTCTCAACACTCAAGATAACTCACTCGATGTACGGTTGACCACCAATGCCTGTTCGTAGCTGGGTTAATCCTCTACATATACAATCCACCGCTCTTAGTGAAATAAAGTTGCTTATCATGGACGGGTGACGTTCGCCAAAAGGTTCACACCAAATCACAATAACTATCCATGGGAAATGAGAAAAGTGGGCTGTCGCCGAACCATCCTCTGGTATGTACATTAATGCATGGTAAGAATCGACTCCGGTCTATGATCGGATGGATTATTTGGCTAGCTCACACGCCCAACCTAAAGTTGTCGCCTTAACGTAGTGGTTAGGCTCCTGTGCTACAATGATCCCGCCGACAATACTGGATGGAATTTACTCCCTAAAGGTTCAACCATTCCGGGAAGGCCAACAGGGAGCAACCCGACGAAGAACAGCAAGTATCCGTACCGTGAGTAATCATCATTATCATGGACGGCAACACATAAGTGTTCAAGACTGACACTTCGCTGTCGTATAACAATGATTTATTCGAAAGCCTTATTGTGAAGAAAGTAATAAAGGTAGGCAGGGAAGGGACCTAGTGCTACATTACCATAATCATTCCTCCAAACTCATTCAGGCAGTCTAGATAAAAACTGACAACACGAACGCCATTGACATCGATTAGCAGCCATATCTTGCAGGGTCCCCATCCAAGCGCAATGGGGATCACGCGTTCCCCATCTTGGAGGGCGAGCAGCACCGACAGCACCCACACGTAATCTCTCTCATACCCTTCTGCCAGCTCAAAGGTTGACCAACTCTGTGCTTACGCCATTCTGAATTGCTACGGGGTAACAACACTCTCCTCGGTAGACGGATCGGCATACGCAATACATTGCCTAATCAATGCAGCTTCTGGTGCTGGACACACTGTTCAATGGAAGTCCCCATGGCACAACCGAGAGCTCGCTTTCTAATTGCCTCACTGCATATTCGCGGACGCCAAACCGCAAGAGCTATCCTCTAAAGACAAGTTGTTCAACAACTGAAGACGTCTCAGTTCCACTGCTCGAACAGGCCAAGACTGACAGTTATGCAACAAAAGAGTCCGCGCTGTATCTCACAGATTTAAGCAATGTCTCTGTTCGGTCTGATATCCAGCGCGAGTGAGTCTGGTGGCGCTGTGCCACAAACAAAACCAGTATAAAATTAAATATGATGGTGAAGCATTTGGCGGAAACGCTAGACGATTCTGGTAAATTCGTCAAACATCCGGATCTGTCTATCTCTATTACCAGGTGATTTTTCCGCATCTTATGCGGCCCTGGAGAACGATGGAAGAAGTGACTCCGGACCAGTGAGTGGAGAGAATCCTCAAACGTGTTCCAAAACGAGTGCCAGTCAGATATCGATCCGCTCCAGCGGTAAGTGATGGCAATAAGATCGGTTTGAGTTTGTGGACGGCACGCCGTCGGAGAACACCATGTGGCCAGACGACTTCGGCTATTTCGGAAGCTAGTACTGCATAAAAACAGCATGCGGTCGGCACACAGCTTAAGCAAGCGTTCACCATTATCCGTGCGTACCGAGTCCAATCGATGTCGACCACCTAATTGAATCTCAAATGCGCTAAGCCTGCCCACTTGTGCATTTGAATCTCCCGCAACCACAGCGATACCTGAACTTTTAGCTCTCTGCAACACGGTATTCAGGACGCCATCAAACTTGTCTTTGATGATGTGAGGGCTACAGTCAGTTGGGACGTAAGAAGACATGACAAACAAACATCGATGAACTTTCTCCTTGTAAGAATCCTTCAAAGATGTTGCCATACGAATCGCGCAAAGGCGAGTCCAGAGTACTCCGACTCCCTCCACATTCGGCGGTCAGCTGGAAGCTTTTGATAGGTTCACTTGCTTGAAAACCGATTTGTTTTTCTGCCTACATGCTGCGGATGAAGTAGCCTGCAGAATGAGCAAGGCGTACCCTGTGTCTGCCGCACTTTCACTTTTGGTGTCGAAAACGTATCAAGTTGGCTGTTAGAGATGGCGTTTTAGTGCTCCTAAGAGATCAGCTTCTCTTGGAAGATTTGGCTTCTTTTCGAATAAGCATACAAGCTCGTTATCTTCCACAGTTCAGGGGAACAGTAATGAGACGATACGTAAATGTGTTTGACAGAGGAACGCACGCGCTCGACAACCGACCTACCGTAAACAGAGAACCTTCTCAGGCTAGGTAGTGCCCTTCAAATGTCAGGAAAAAAATACCGTTACGCCGGAGACTGCGAAGCTCAAATAAATCGGAAAACAAGACACGGTAGTCAGCCAATGATGAGTTTAGGAGCATCCAAGGTTTTGACCGCATGATTTAACGATTTATCGTGAGTTGGAGATCAGCAGATAGTCCTCACTGGTACAGAAGGTCCCTTCCGATAGGACGAAATGTCTCGATTGGTTTATTTATCTTGAACAGCTGTGTTCCCAGTTTCAGTCTCTATAAAACATATCCATTAGCTTTAACCTGTTCTCGTATTTCGCTGCCGTTACTGCTTCCCATTCGTCATCATCGAACTCAACGGCAGCGCGAGCCAATCATTCGCAGGCATAGCTCAGCGCTACAACCAGTCTAGCCAACAATCCTCAACTCCCACAAACTCTAGCTACTCAAAAGTCCCACTGATATATTTCAATACTTTTAGGGGAGATCCCTAGGCTCAGATTTCTCTGCAACTCATTTGGTGTAATTAAAAGGCTATGAAGAAGAAAAAAGTAAATCCGTTTGGGTGGTGACAAATAACTGCGATGTATTCAAGAACCAATCCTAGATTGTAGGGAGACGACTATCATCCCATCGATTTCACCCGATTTCCATGTTACATTAAAATATGGTAATCACGCACAAAGGAGGGCTCCCAGACCTGAGGAGAGGCCAACCGGCACCGTGTAAGTCATCGTAAACCGTTCTCTAGGTAATAGCGTCTTATAGGAACATTCAAACTCGCGACACCATCCGTCATCGGGACACCGATAGACACAAAGCGTTCAGCTGTAGCACCCTTCTGGTGCTTAGCTGCCATGCCACCCGAAGGAAGCACGAGGGCTAGAATACTGCCAGGTTGCCCAAGCCTAGACAGGGGGAATCGAGTGGCGGAGGTCGGATTCGAATCACGGACCTTCCTGTCAGTAAATTCGCGCTCTAACCACCTGGGCCATCTCGCCCCAAGCGGCAGGACGAAGAGATTTTTATCTCAAGCAAAATTCTTAGCCAGATGGCATGTTGCTCAAAGCTGTTGTAGGCAGTATGGTGAGATATTTTTAATTGAAAGAAATATTACGAACAAGCGTTGCGCGCGCCCTTGCCAATGGTTGACATCCAAAGGTTCCTATGTGTGCTATTGGTGACATTTCGAAAGGTGGATAAGTGTTTATCCATGTACTGTTGAGGGACTTTGTAACGTTGCAAACAAAGAGGAAACAAAGTATTATCGTTCCGAAAATGTTTAGTAAACAATAGTACTAAATTTTTCGGCGAAACTGAAAAGTGATGACCAGTTCCACCCAGTTACGTGGATTCTACGGTTGGCACTCGAACCAACAGTCGTAATCGTCAAGCTGTAGCGCCCTTTCGGTGCCTAACTGACGCGCCACCAGAAGAAAGCACGGAAGCTTGAATAGTGCCAGGTTGCCCAAGCCTAGAGAGGGCTATTCGAGAGGCGGGGGTCGGGACCTAACGGTCAGTAACTTCACGCTCTTGCCACTAAGCCATCTCATCCTCGTACCAGACCCCTTCTAAAATCCCTGCAGACAGTATCTGCGCAGAGTACACCACCAAGCATTGCACATGAGCAGCCAGTCTCTCACCTACGAAGCTCGCCTATTCGTCCTAGAGAAACTCGGGTATATCAAAGAGAGAACAACCTAATCAGATAAATTAAACCATCCGTAAAATTGAGAATATTTTTTCTGTGAAAGCGACTATTCGCAAGAGAGCGTCTAATAGTGAACGGAATAGTAACAAATTAAGTATGATAAATAAACAATTTGTCAACCCTTGTAAGCCAGGAGCGACGAAACGGTTCAAATATATGTACGGTTTTAACGGCACCACACATTCCGAGCTGCTATTACTGACGCGTTTCTTGGGATGGAATGGAGTTCCTAGGAACCAAAACCATTACTGCTTAGCTGGAAGAGGCGGACTGGGTGATGGAGTTCTCAAACTCGGTCTAAGTATTGCTCAGAACTTCCATATAAACAAAAGGTTACGAAGTCCGGTGCAAACGATAATTACGTCGTTCGGTTACTTGACAAAAACTGACCTGGTCTGAGAAGAACTGCCGGTTTTGAAATGCATTGTTCCGCATAAATGCAAAACTCTCAGTCAAGGACCGCGTGGCCATACTGAAGACGCGTGCAGAACGCCAAAAGCTCTACTGAATTGAAATACGTCAGTAGATACGTTTCGGTGAAATACACCGAGATTCAGCGGATCCGTAGGGTCGGTCTAAAACAAAAGACAACGAAACTTCAGATTAATGGGGAATCGGAAGATCCCGTTACCTTCTTAAGTCCCCTTAATTTTTAAACTGAGACACCCAGCGACCAACTCGATATACTTCGAACCAAGGAGCGCTGTTTAAAACTACAGACACTTGTTGTCCATGTTCGCAAGTGCTTTGTGAACAAGTTTTGTGATCCTGTAGTTTCTCTACATATGACTAACAAACTAACACTCCTAAGAAAATGAGAACAGGAAACAAAGCTCCAGGATATATTGAAGTAATTTCTTTCAAGTGGTTCGAATCTAGCATATTTTTTCCAGTTCCAACCTGTGACCCTCAGAGCTAGAGTGAACTTCCAAAAGCATATTCAAACTTTTGACCGCTTACTCTGGGTGATCCAACTGCCTGTAAACCACGTGACGTAACAAATGACTTCTACTAGGGAGGGATCTTCATCGTGGAGCATCAACAACAGACATAATGCTGATGGCATGAAATAAGAAACATGATAGGAAACAAAAACCAATCGGTCAACATTTTAGTGGATCTGGACGCGATGGTAAACAAACTTTCAGGGGAAAGAACAAAACGCAAGACAACTCCACAAGGTTGGTCAATCTGCTTATCACTGCCTAAAGCACCAAATTAGATGTCAGCGTGGGCAATGGTATCTGTTGAAAATATATCTCTCAATAGGAACCACCACAAAAGCTCCCGTCTATAAATCGGGACCATCTGTTCAGTGTTCCGAACAACCCTGTTTATTTTTGAGGGGATCTACACAGTTAGAGGCCAACACACGGGATGGCAAACTATATAGTCGTAGTGTCATGCACACATTTGAAGCCGTCTGTTTGACTTCCCAGTAAATTGTAATGCAGGTAACCTACGTCCTGGTCGACAGTTCACCTTCGAAAAAATGCCATCCACTCAACATCATCATAGGTAGAAACATTGGTGTACTGACGCCTCGTCCTGGTCGACAGTTCACCTTCGAAAAAATGCCATCCACTCAACATCATCATAGGTAGAAACATTGGTGTTGACACTGACGCCTCACTGCCGTACAACCATAACCTTGAAGCCTTAGAGTGAAAGAGTTGTTGATGGAGGGGGTCTGGAACTGGCATGTCGCAGGCATTTAGAGGTTCCTTCATCTCTAAACACTCAATAAACTAAACTGGAAACTAACATGAACGTCACTGAGATCGATCAGCCGTCATTTCCTGCAGTCTCCAACCAAGCGCAGTGGAGTGGGGGGTCACGGGAACCTCATCCTGGAAGGCGGACAGCACCAACACCACCTACACTCTTCGTAATTTATTTCATACACTTCTTCCAAGTCATTCGTTGTCTACTTAGTAGTTTGTGCCATTCTGAAGGAGGCGCGGACAATAAAACTCGCTTCGACAGATGTTTAGTCATGAATATCACATGACCGAGTCAACAAATTTGATGGTGCTGGATTTTTTCCGCAACCGAAGTACCTGCTGCACAAACAAACATCCGTTTTCCAATTATTTTGTTGCGAATTCGTTGACGCAATCCGGCACTGGCAACGCTTCTAAGGCATCGGTGGTCAAAAACCTGACGATGCCTCACATCATCTGTCCGCAAAGGCCACGTCTCACTCATAAAAACACAGCCCTTACTGCAGCCTGGTACGTGCGACCCTTGATACCCAGTGATATGCCTTGTTGACGCCACATAGTGACAAGTGATTCTGGCCCTTGAGATTCCTGCACTAATTTTGCCACACATATTCCCGTCATAGCACTGAGTGAGGAATTCACAGCCATCCTTGAACAGAGCACGTGGAAGGTCATCAAAACAAGGATCACGATAACGCTTACGCAGATATGCGCTGTGATACTTCTGAGGCTAGAAAGTGTTCTATATTCACAGTACATCTTTCTGTTGAAGGCCGGCATTCCGAACGGGAGTTAGCAGGTACACGACTGGATCTTTGTTCGAAGTATTGTACCAAACGGTTCTCCTTTGCTGAATACCATAGCGTCATTTTGATCCCTCCTTGACGAAGAGACTTGAACTTACCGTGGTGCGACCCACTGAATTATAGTTGGGGGTGTCCGCGCGACACTCAGTCTCTCCTACCAGGTTGGTCAACGATTAGATGCTTAACCAACATATCCATCTGGACCTACAGCTTAATTGTCCCGACCTAAAGCTGCCACCTTGACGTGGTGGTCGGGCTTCAGTGCTGCAATGATCCTGCGGGCTACACTGGCTGGAACTTCGTTCCACAAGGTGCAACCATGCCAGGAAGGCCAAAGGGGAGCAGCCAGACCAAGAGCAGCGAGACCCCGTACTACGAGTAATCGTGCTACGAGGCGGTCTGGGGGTAAAGTCGTACTGTCCTCTGCGACAGGAGTGTAAAGGCA